TACCCTTCGATCGAAGTAGGTTGAAAAAACCGTCGAGGTAGAGATTTGTCCTGGTGTGTCTGTCGACACTGTCTGTGCTGGTTGTCGACACCGTGGGAAGGGGAGCGGGGTTCTCGTGAAAGGATAAATATTTCGAAAAATGCGGTTGTGAGTGAATCGAATCGCGAATTCCGTAAAACCGGTAAAATGAGCAAAATTCTGGATTTAAAATTTAATTCAACCGTGCCGCGAAGAACGAAAGGAATCTGTCACGGTTGTAACTTTCACAAGACGTATGTTAAGCAGCGATATTGGTCTGAAACACCGTGTGTCGCGTGCGTCGCGTTCGACAGGATCTCTGTACGCGGATAGCCATGCCGCTTTACGCGAGTTTGCATTCGTCACCTCTTGCACTTCGCTCTTTCTCGCGACGGCGAAACTCGGTGATCGCTATTTATGAGATGCCCCGAGTGTATCGCAATAGGAATAATAGACGCTTTCTGCCTCTTGGATGCGTTCGATCCATGGGGAAAGTAACGACGAAGGACGAAGAGGGGGAGACAGGTCGAAGAATTCGAGTCACACCTAGGGGACCTTCCCTGTCGGCGCGAAAAAAATCATGGAACGCAATGACGAAACGTAGGCTGGGAATGAATGCCTCTTCAGATTTCTCCATCTTGCTTCCCTCTTCCTCCACGCACGATCTCGCGCGTGGATGTAACGTTGATTTCGTAGGAAAATTTAATATAAAAATATACATAATTTTTTTTTAATATCAGACGAGAGGAACCTCAATTAAACAATTTTTACTGTACATGTCGGGGATTACGTCACAGTTTAGGACTAGGAGGCCAAAGACTAGAGGTTTATTACATCTAATTGTAGATTGGATCTTGGTTGCTCACACGTTGCTCGTTAAATGGAGAACTTAGAAATGTTAAATGGTAATTTGCAGTTAGGTACTCGAGTTTTTGTATAGAGATGACAAATTTCATCGCACGTTGTGTGTATATGATAACTTAATGCCGACTTTTCATTTACTCTTCGTCGTACTCCATGTTTCACGCACGAATGTCTTGCAGAACGAGTCTCGTTACGCGCTCACAGCACACACGACGACGTAATGATATTTTTTCACTGACGTCGTGTACCTACTACCTGTCGGGAACTTGCATAATGTTCTATTTATTGCACTCTGCGATCTCTCACGTATAAATAGAATTAATTCCTCGGCTACGAAATACGCTCGACTCGCGATCGCGACTCGCGATTGTCGATATCGGCTCGAAAATCCGAGCGGAAAGGTTACCGAGACCTTTCGCAGAAATCGTCAGATTGGCTCGGTTCGTAGCCTCGAAAAATCAAAGTGAAAATATAAATTACAGTTCGATATTTTTCTCTAAATGGGTAAACATTATTTTTTAATAGTTATCGCGACTCTCGAAAATTAAGTTAATTGGATCGAACAAAGCCTCGTAATTGCGAATTTGTTTATGCCATAGAAAATATCACAGGAGGCCCGACGTTAGCATTTAACGATGCGTTGCTTCGCATCTCAGATCTCCGTGGAAAGGACATTGTCCTTTGGGCATCATTAAGGTAAGAGAAAGGCGATTCTTCGCGAAGGAAATTTCGTAAGAACGTTGATTTTCCAGTGGATCAATTAGCCTCCGCCCCCGCGATGTACTAAATTCCTGTCAGTTGTCTTCTATTTATAAGCGCAAGTCTTAATTAATTATATAAATCCTACTTGCACAATCGCAATAATAACTTTGCACATTTTTACAATGATCTTCTCCGTCCGATTTTACTTCGTACTCGAATTTGACGAAGAACATACCTCCAATTGTTATGTTATTCTGAATGAGAGAGAAAAATATAAAGACATTTGTATATTGTAAGAGAGATGATTCGAGATTGATACGTATTACTACGGATACACGGCGCGTAGAATATCGCGCGTGAAGCGCGCATTTGTCGTTGATCTTTCACGCGTGCCTAATTGCAGGGCTCGTTGACTGCAATTTCTAAGTTTTTCCAGAAAGGTCGAGGCCGCAGTCGCTCGCGCGGCCAACTCGCGGATACCTTTCTCGACCTGGCGAGCCTTCCGTAACACGGGAATTACCACGGGGATTATATCTGTCTCTTTCCTCTTTCCCTGACTCTATCGTCGCCGAATTGCTACTGCGAACTTTTCGCGAGTCTCCGCGGATGCGAACTTTTCATGACTATTATACATTCTGCTTTATTTCATCATAAAATGAGGATAAAAAAAGGATAAATTAATGTCGTCATTGTGATCATCGTGTATTGTTAAGTCAAATCGATAAAGTTGCCACGTGATAAAGACAGAAGCGGGTGTAGCAGCAATTAAGTAATCATACTTTGTATTGTTTGCTTTACATTCATCATGCTTGACATCGAACGTTCCCTCGAACTCTCGCAGAAACACGGTGGCCGGGCGTGGCAGTAAGAAAGCGGCAAGAGAGCAGCGGGAAAGTGATATCTCTTCGCCGTCACTGTTCCATTCAGGGACGAATCGAATCTCGCAGTGCCCTTGTGATAGCTTCATTTGAAACTTTATGGGCAGGCACTTGTCAAAACTGCAGACTATGATAAAACTCTCACTCTATCCTCTATTCCCATTAAAATCCTTGAAGACTTTTCGAATCTATCTCTTTTCGAGTAAATACTTCGTTTTAATATAATGTAGTGAAAAGTATTTGGATAATTACATGTGTATAATTATTTAGGACTCTCTATAGTTATAGATATTTCTGAAGAGATACTTATGACTGCGAAAAATAAAATGCTACACTCTAAGCTCTATCCGTTTTATCGTTTTATCAGAAAAGAAAATTGATCATGATCGATGATTTTTTTTTTTTTCGCTATTTTAATGAAATGCACAGCAATATTTCTGCCATCGTGTAAAATTTTTCTTTCGAAAGACCGTAATGTTTCCAACGCGTTCCTGTCGTTCGTTCGCTGCATATTCGATGACTCCCCCTCCGATCGCTTTTCGCATTTCACCGGGACCTTTTGCCGCTTCATATACGACGTAACGTCGCGTATTATTACGTAATTTTCAAGTTTTGCGCCACCGTTCGAGTGAAACGTACGACGAGGCGTCTCCTCGGTCGCTTTCGAGATATTTTGTCCCTTTCTAAACGATTTCTCAAATTTCGTTCGGCAAAGCATATATCCGGTTTGACACAAACTTTCTTCATTAAAATGTAAAACATTTGGTTGCATCTCAATACTGCAAGAAGAAATATCTATGATTACCTTAGAAATTTCTCCAAATTTATTCTTTTCGAAGCATATAAACATGGATATCTCGAGTGTCTTTGTCATTTTGTTCGAGATTCGTTAAAATTCTGAAATTAATATTGAAATAAATTCTGAAAATTAAAATTCTAAAAAATCGTTGGTGAGAGGATTGAGGAATTTATAATTTATAAATAAATTGCTACTTCATGAAATGGAAATGTCTGTTATAAAGAATCATGAAGAGTTACTATTTATATATTTATGTGATTGGCATGCAATCTTAAGAGTGTTATATGATCATTATATTACAGTGCTACCGCAACGCGATTACATAATATTGTTGCGCGATTATATAGTCATTTGTTTATATAATTGTTACATGGTACTACTCACCACTTCGGTACACACGTTTTAATTTTACAATTAATCTAACGTGTACACGATACATATCCATATTACACATCCATCAGAAGATACTTTAATATGCGACAAACTTTTCTTTCGTTTTACCGCTTTTGCTCTTTCTCTTTGGAAACTCACTTTAAGCTATCGATTTCTTTTCCGTATGCGCAACCAAGCGCGGAATTCCGATTGCGAGGAAAGCTTGAAAAAGGTCGCTACTGGATTGGTCCTCCCGTTGGTGCCATCTCTCCTCGTTCGACGACAATGTGTCGTCGAACGTGAAAACGGAGTAAGAAGAAGTGCAAGAGAAATTCATTGCACATTCCGCGACAAATGTCATCTGATATTATTATTAATATACTCCCCATATGAAAATTTAGAAAAAATTAAGTGACATGTTTCGCGAAAATTTGAAGCGACTTTAACGTTCACGCTCATAATTTAGTATACACTTCGAATAGTATGGGCTTCACCAGGCATTAAAGTTTCCGATGTTCCGAAATCCCCATTGTTAGAGAATTCACGTTACGTTCAGGACGGTCACGGTCGGTGCGTGAGTTTCCTCAAGTCTGACTTGAAAAGATTTCACAGGGAAATTTATCACGATTTCGTCTTACGAACGCGTGAAAATTAGGACAAGCCACGTGGCGTTAAATGCTAGTTAAAGTTACGATCCAATAAGTCCTCTAAACGGCGCGATAGATGATTACTTTGTGGAGAAACGAGAGGATCGTGTTTGAAGAAATCGGCCGAGGGGCGCGTGGAGTACACGCTCTCTAGAAGCGCGCAAAAACATCGTGTTCCAATTACGTGTACGATAAGTCGAGCAGAGTGGGAGCTCGTTGGTGGGTCCGTCCCGACGTTACCGGACCAACGTATGCTGGAGATGTATTCCGTGACGACACATTTCTCTGCATCAACCACGCTCCAGTTCTTCATGGCGATCTTCTGCAATCATCGCCTGCAATCATAGCCCGTTCTTCTCCGACCCCTTCTTCCCGTCCGCCATCTATATACTTCGACTCTCGCTCCTTTTACCTCTTGGAGAACCTGTGATGAGTCTGGAGAACACACACAGAGAGAGAGAGAGAGAGACAGAGCGCGTGCTGCAATCTCGTGACTTGAATATGAAGCTTTTAGAACGCGTGATCTCTTGATTTACCATCGAAGGAAACTTCCCATAAATGCGATTTTTTTCTTCCGTTATTTTATTCACGGTTTTAGATTTTACAATTCATATTTATATCTATTCAAAAGATCAAATTAAGAGGAATGAAGGATTAAAAGAGATAAAAGACAGGCAGAAATTTCAATTTATATTTATTTACAGATTATAGTCCTTTCAAATTTCAAAAGCTAGTTCTTTCTCGTTTGTTTATCGGATAGCATATTAATGAACTAATGCGAGAATTACAAAAGGAAATATCATTTACGAAATCTATTCACTTAACCTTAGATTTTATTAAACTAAATAGCCCTCTTTGATCGTTGTCTTCGATGACGAGTTGTCATCGACTGCAGTTTTATTCGTTATTGATACTTTATCCATTGCTTCGCATCTCGATCAGAAGATATTAAGATTAATCGATAGAGATTGATTAAAGCCGTAGCAATAGCAAATAGCAACAGTTATTTTATTGTAGTTGGCTCGATGTGTACGCTTAGTAGCAAAGAGTGATTTCTAAAAGATTCGTCGATTAACTGAAACAGAAAAGGAAGATATTTCTCGTGAGTTTTGGTCGTCCTGTTCTCGATACGTAAAACGTATGAATTATATCGTAAGAATCGGAATCGGAAAATATAGTTAAAATATTATATATCGAAGAAAAAAATCGTGTACCATTTGGCAACGCTGAAGGGCTTGCAGGAGTCTGAGGGCTTGTCGTATGAGAAGCCCGATGAACACCTCACCATTTGAGGTCTGTCGTTCCTACAGACCACCATGTTGGTGCAACTTTCGTTGAGCCTGTGCACGTCTCCATTTTTACACGGAGTACTCATTAGCTCAGGTGGTATCACCTGGAAAAGATTCCATGGGCTCATCAGACTCGACGTTTCCATCACGTCCTGCGGTTGATTGTCGAGAGGTTGACCGTTAGTCATTTCTTCATTCTTGAGCCGTTCGTTGTCGATCTCTAGTTGAGACGCCGACGGTCGTTGATGCCAGGGATCCGGTTCAACCTTAGTTAGCCAGGGATTTCCGGGATAAGCTGGCGGTGGGTAGGGTTGTGGTTGATAGGTCGGAAGTTGTGGAGAAGGATAGGTCGGTGGTTGAGAAGGATAAGTAGGCTGAGGGGGGTAAGTAGGTGGCTTAGTAGACGGCTTGGACGTAGGAGGTGGATGCGAAGGTGTTTGCGGAGGTATAGTCGGCGGCTGTGGTGGAGGTTGTGGTTTTGGCGTGGCAGCGCCTCTGCAGTCTACGTTGTATGGATAGTCACACACGTTTAGAATCTGAAAAAAGTCGAAAATTGCGATTTTATCTCTCGAGTTGTTGTTACTTATTCTTGACATACTTGTTTCGAATATCTGAGATATTTTGTGCTGCTGAAATGATCACGAGATTTAGTACTGGAAATTTGACTCATTCTCGTTTTCAGAGTCAGACTAACGCAGTTATACTTTCTGCATAACTTTCTGTCAAGAAAGATAAAAATAACGAGAGACATGACGCGTCATTCCGCGACTTAAAATTCCGCGTGTGTTCGAGTCGCGTTTTTCGGAACGGCTCCTTACGTCATTGTAGACCAGACTGCGAGGGCAGGCGAATTTGACGGGTCTGCCTCCGACACACACGTAGAATTCTGAACAGTTCGTCGAGCTCCTGTAGCGGCCGTTCGGGTCCGGGCACAGCTTCGACCCCGGCGGCAACGGTGGTTCTGCCGAGTGACAAGATTAACACTTCTATTATCACGAAATTTCACGAAAACTGTGATACTTTATCTGTATTGAAGATACAAACAAAAAGAGAAACGGTCTGAAATAAGTAAGTAAACTTCCTTAATTATAACGAGGGATGAACACGCGGTTGAAAAAAGACGCGCGCGGTTCAAAATGCTCCGTTATAGATTATCGGATAATCTTACGGTATTCTCGGCTATTAGGTTATCGTTACTTTGATAGCCCTTCGCTCTCCCCCTATGCTCTTATCTTAGCCTCCACTGTCCCTGAGGTAATTTCGCTTTGAGTTGAGAACCACTGATCTAATAGATGAAGTTGCGATTAAGAGGCAATCGGATCGGCCGTTGCGATTACTCGCGGAACCGTGAACGAGCGATTCGATGCGTGATTATCGATCACTCACTCGGTGTGGCGGGAGGTCGGTTGCCGCAGTTGACGTTATAGTCGAAGTCGCAGACGTTGGTAACGTCGTTGAAGAGCAACCCAGCTGGGCAGGTCTGCTCTATGACAACATCGTCCCAGCAGTTGAGGTAGTTGGCGCAGCTCTTCGGGCTCGGGTACTGGCCTCGCGGGCCTAAACAACCCGGCGGGTGCGGAAGCAACGTAGGTTGCGGCGAGATGGGCTTAGGCAGTTCGTTCGTTTCCCCCGGATTCGTCGGGAGCCCAGGGTAGAACTGTCTGCCGGTGTTGAGGACGACCTCGTCGTGCTTCTCCGACACGTTGTTCAGACTTTTCCACGACTCGGCACGGTTGTCCAGTTTCTGGATGTCATAGTTGTCCCACAGAGTCTCCAGTTCTGAAATTTGATTTTAGATCTCTGGTTTAAAATCGACTGGTTCGTCATCGTCATCGTCGATCGTCGATCGTCGATCGTCATCGTTGAGGAGGCGCGTGATTTCTGTACGAATTTCGTTGCTTCGTTCACCGATCGGCGTTCGCGAAATTTTTCATTCAACGTACTTTGTAATTATTTTTTTATCATTTTTAATTATTCAAAGAATAATTTAAGAGTACACCTAGCAGTTTTTGCGAGAGACGAATTCGAGAGTCGTAGACATCTTTCCGGATGTCTTGAAATTATCGTCGCATTTCCTTTGCCGTGAGAATATCCACGTAAAGACACTCGGTGTTTTGCAGCCTCTTCGTATCGTCGCGTTACCGATCGCGCGGAACAACATCTCGCGAGAACTCGAGACTCCCAACCTTGAAGACATCGGCACTGACCTTCCGGCTGTCCGGCGAAGCCGAGCTGCCTACCGATGAACGACGCTGGTGTCGTCATCGTTGTGGTCACTGTCGTTCCTGTCGTGGATCTAACTCTTCTCCTGGCAGCATTGACGAAACTTACAGTAAGGACCGTAAGGACGACTAACACCTCCACCCTCATCTTCTTCTCGATGTGCCCTCTCTTCGTTCTTCCCCTCGTCCTCTTCCTCTCGTTCTCCTCCTCGGCTTCTTCTTCACCACCGATGACAATCCCGAGGGCGGTCGGTGCCCTCCACCAGGACGAAGGATACTTTCCGAAAACTAAGTCGCCAGGGGTGTCTTGCTCGCTTGATCCTCCTTGTGCTCATCGACGCCAGGGCGGCGCGAATCCTGACTCGCGGTGTCCTGATGCTGGATGAGCTGGACCTGGTCGCTTCCAGGGCCTTACATAGGGCGACCCCCACCAGACCCGCGGTCTCGTAGGGACCACAGGACCTCAATTACTCGACGATTCGCGTAGGACCCTCTTCTTGCGCAGGAAGTGCTTGCCGCGTTCCCGCGACTCGTTCCCTCCGCCTGTTTCCCCCTCGTATCTGCCTTCCCCCATCTCTCGTCCGAGGACTCCTCATTGGACGGGATTTAGGATGCACCCGAAGGATGCACGTCGCGTGCCCGCGACGATCGTTCGTCCTGCCAGCGGGCTGAGAGAACTGTTTTTCGTTGGTCATGCGTTTTAGGCGCTGGATATTGTTACCGGGCGAATTTAGGGTCTTGACCCTTTGGAGTCGGTTTTTTAATTCGTTAAGCATGCGCGTTCCAAGGGCTCCAGCGAAGTCTTAAAACCTTCGTCTGAGACATATTGTCCTGGTAAACTCGACAGGCTTAAGGACGATCTTTAGTGTCGGCCTTTTGTGCCTCGTGTTGCTCGTTATTGGTTTTGCTTCTTGGAAAGTGAGGAAAGATCATAAGGGTGTGAGTAGTACTGCGCGAAATGGAAGACCTTACCGATTACCGGTTTCGAGGTCTCTCGTTGTTGATTTTTTTACAAGTAGATAAATAAATAAGTAAATAAATATTTGAGTTGAGATTTGCCGCTCTTATGGTATACGTGGTTGCCAAAGAGATAGAGTCCCTTTGTGTTCTTGTGATTGTAAATTCTTAAAGTTAACGATAGAGCATCGCGATATCGTATAAACGGTTAACAGCGAGAGATGTCGGCTGTCACACCGACAAATGATGACGCGCGCTCGCGAATTTCATTAGCTGCCTTCCCGTGACTTTCATATGACTCGCGCATAGTCTATATGGGGCTTCCCGCGACCGACGCAGCGGCAGAGGAGGAAAAAATTCCACACCTGCGAGAATCAGGGGAGAGCGAGGAGGGTTCGCATTGGTATGCAAAGGTGGACGCACTCTCGAGGGGACTCGTTACGTACTCGTTACCGAAAGTGTCCCGCGACATCGCGCGGGTCCTGTGCGAATCCTGCGAGAGCGCATCGCCGGTATGTAGGAGGCTCCACGGGGCTCATCGTCCTTTTTATTATCCGTCTGGATAAGAGATTCGGCGGCCTCGGCAATAAGGAAGAATCCAAGCCCGATCCGAACGTAAAAGGAAGGAAAAGGAGCAGGACGAGTAGGAAGAGACGCGACCGCGACCACGTAATCCTCGAATCCGCCGAGTTTTCGATCCCGCCGAATCTCGCGGGTAATCCTGAGTCACGCATGACCTCGCCGTATCTCGTCCCTCAACTTGCTTGAGGACGAGTAACACGTTCTGCGAGATGTCCGCGAGAGGACTCGCGTAATCGTGCATTTCTTTTTCTTGCTCGTAGTACGTCGAAGGATACGTCGAAGGATACGAAAAAAAGCGTCTCGTATCGAATATTCCGATCTGATTTTCTTCGGCTTCACTCGAATGCGAATGGAATCTTAATCTTGTCACTTGTGTGTAGGCACACAAGTGACAAGTGTGTAGCTGTGATTCTGTTAGAATATTAATATATTTTTTATTTCTTTCTAAATCGAGTATTAATTTGTCTCATGTGAGATTCGAAATTGACAAGATTGAAACTGACAGGACGTCAGCGATTTTAATAGCCTTTCTCACGATGCCCGCGCTCGCCGACATGATGACACGTGATCCCCCACGATCAAAGTCGCAAAGACGACACCCGGGATAATTCCCCGCGTTTAATCCTGATGGCCGATATTTACATCGTGCGTCTGAGGTGAAGCGATCACCTCGGTTTTACCGTCGTTGTCTTCATTGCCCTCGTGTCCGGTCGAGTCTTCGTTTTTGTTTTCTTGGTTCCAGTCCAGACCTTAGACCACGGACCGAGATTGCAGGGGGATCTAGGATGGAATGTCGACAGGAGTGAGAAACGGGGCGGGAACGTTGGATCGGAGTAGCGAGAAAAAAAAGTTAACTCTTAACTAGACCGTTGCACGGAGTGTAACGAATGAGGAACGACGAATTACATATAAATTGCATTAAAGCACTCCACTAGAGTTGCTTCCTCGCAAGCCGACTAACGGAGATAAATTTAATCGGACATAATTAAAAAGATGCTTTGTTGAACTTATGTCGGACGGCTTTTCGTACATCGTAATCACGCTATTACAGGGGGGCGTTACTAAGCGGGCGGGACTAAGGCCTGGAGCTGAGAATTATTTTTACCTCCGCTGAATGACACTGTCGATAAGGAAATAACGTTTTCGCGCGCGCTCCTAAATCGAATGTTGAATCGCGCAATAAATCCGAAGTGCCTTACATGGTACGTCACTTAGGCCCAAATACGCGAGGGCGATGCATGCCTTGGTCGAGGAGGCGCTTAACACAACACACGCGCGAGGGATCTTGCCGAGACTTTCCTCACGTGACTTTGCTCGTGTATCGATAAGAGATAGAGGTACAATTCGTGAGGAATTCGTGCAGTTCTGATAAAATATCGGAGAAGACGTGGGAGATCCTCTTCCTCTCGCCCCGCTTCGGTAATGTGAAACGCATGTTCCATGCAATTTTTCGTTTCGGTACTTCTTCTGGAAGAAAAGATTCTCCTATGATAGAGCCCAAGTCCCTTTTGAGCCCATTTTCATCAATGCACAATATTCTTCCCCGCAATTTCAGACGTTGGATCCACCGTTGACGCTTCGTCCGCGGTCCGTATGCGCTTTGCTTGCGCAATGCGACTCGAGAAACAGGTTTGGGAAACGTTGAATGTTGTGTTAAAAAGCAGGAACCATCTGAAGTGACGTTAAAAATGCAGACGTCGCGCCTTGATACCGCAATGCTCATTCGAATTCATTTCGAGTGCGCGCGCGATCGGCGCGTCGTGGTCTGAAGTACGGCTCGCGAGTACTGCGGTCTGACGTAGGTGGTCTGTTACTACTCTTATGCTTTCTTCATAATTCAATGCTCGGTGATAGAGCAAACCGCGGAGGGCTGCGAGAGAGAGAGAGAGAGAGAGAGAGCACTTAATCGGCGCAACAGTCGGGAAGCGAGTTTAAAACTTAAAGCTGCCGCTATCGCCATAAATGAAACGCCCGCGGGTCAACTGGACCCTCGCGATTAAGTACGCCGAATTACTTTCGGCGCGGAAATCTTTGTGCTCATTTGGATAATGAGGAATAAACATTATCCGCGATTGTACGTTTTACGTTAAATCTCATCGACGAGCTTCGGAACTTTCGGAAAGCTTATATTTATAGAGAATATCTTGGGTAAATTTATCCGAGATAATACAAAATAAATTTGGCAATTTAATTGCGATGAAATGTCGATGATTACAAGATTCAGGGCCCTTAATTTTTTCCCCTCATATCGCAAAAGGTTCACTTAAAATCTTCTCTTTATATATTCCGTTTAGAGATACATGTGGAACACGCGTTATCATTGATTGCGTTACGTCGTTTTTACTTCGTCTTTGTCGATAAGTAAATTTTATTCAAATCCGGCGGACTAAGAAGTCGGGAAGGAGTAGCGGCCGAACGAGTTAAAAGGAACGTTTTTGGGGGGGAAGCGAAATGAGAGAAAAACGCGTGCAATATCTATAGAAAGACCGTTCATTCTTCCCCCAATTCGCAACCAGTTTCTCGTGAATAATGTCAGGGCACAATGACGTCAAAATTCGACGGGCCCGAGGCGGGGGGCTGAATTTGCATAAATAACATGCGATCAAAAAGGAACAACGGTTTTCAGAAGCACCCGTGGGTGGTGGGATTTGAGCGATAAACTCATGTTCACGCTCGTTATTTTTGCGCAAGATATGCAGGGTGGCTTTGAAAGCCATTTTCACGCGCCATTTGTGCGATGATATTGTTCCGAATATAAGCGTAAAATTAATTCTTTTAACCCAGTCTTTTCAGAGATTTGTCCTTGTGCGTTATCCCTTTTCCCTTTTCTTGTGCGTGATGGAACTTTGATTAAAGATACCTTTTGACCAATTTTTCGAGGCAATGCGTGAAGGATCGCACGTATTATTTCGAGAGAACGTGTTTCGTAACTATTGATAGAGTGCATGCGTATACTCGGCGAGAAGTTGCACAAGAGATATCAACGTCCGGCGTAATTCTCGATACGGGATATCCGCGGGCGGTTATTGGCTAAGTCGTTCTAATGAAACGAGTGCATTTCGGAGAAGCGGCCGCTTCGAGAGGAAAGAGCGAAATGGAAAGGGAGGGACGGAACGACGATAAAACAATTAAAAAGGACTCGGAGGACGAGCAGCGGGATGAGTCGAGCCGCGGAGAGGGTCCGGTAAAAAAGGACGATGCACAACGGGAGAAAATAAGAGGGGAGAAGAACGCGGTGGACTCGAACGCGTCAAGGACCAGAGGTCCTTGCTCTCCGGGTCATAGCGGCCCACAGGCTCGCTACACCTTCTTCGGGACCCTCTCAGAGGCTCTCAAGTCTGGCCTATTTGGCGTCCGATACGGTCGGTCCTTCAGTAGCGATAACTTCCTAATAAAATTTGCGACGGGAGTCCCTTAATCGAAAGAGCGTGATAATTACGCTACCGGACGATATCGCGATGCATTAGCTTTGACATTTTGTGCGATTATACGTATATAATGATATAATCTTGGTCGTAAATAGAGATGTTCCTTGACATTATAAATTTTTGCATAATATATGGTGATTATCGCTGAAAAACGATAAATTTTCTTGCATACGTCTTATTGTCGAGGAATATTGCGGAAAATATTAGAAAGTAATCACCTCGTTGAATAATGTTGCAATACTATGATATTATGATAATGACGAAGTTCTCGTTTTGCACAGAACATTGAATATAATTTTCATTAATTGCACGCGAGCGCGTTAGGGTGGCCAGAGGCGGTATGTAATTTTCCGGAAAGTAATTTTCTCATGACTTCTTATTAGATTTACATAATCGTGGATATGTCATCGAGCGCGCTGTGTCAGGGAAAGAGTCGACCGCGCCTCAGTCAAGGGACATTAGAAAGCACGCGACATTTCCTTGTTAATTACTTTCTCGTCGGGGTCCACCTATCTCAACATTTTACACGATTACATGTGCGACCGTAACTTCAACGCGTTACGCAGCGCAAGTTTCGTAATTGCGGGGACAGGTATGTTCGTGGTTTTCAACAAGGTGGTTTAAACGCTTACAACACCGACGTGGTGTACAGAGTGTGCAGAATCTTAATTGGAGGTCTCATCACGAAGATTTCGTTGCAAAGAGATTAACACATAACGCGAAATCTCCTGATGTAGGTTCATATAAATGATAGTGCGAAATAATTTTTCCTTGATTTTTTGTAAATTTAATCAGAATTTCATTCGATTGAGACATTACAGCTTACAGCTTCTAAGTAAATATTTAATTATATACTACACAGATCTGACCTGATATAGTGTAGAGTATCAAAATCCTGTTCGATGTGCCTATGCGCTCTGTGTTAGCTAAATGAAAGTCCTGTTGAGATATAACCAGTTTCGCGACAGTGCAGCATGGTTTGCCAATGCTCAGGCGTTCTCTCACAGTGTCGTCTTGCAAACATTAAAAAGTCCCGTAAAAAAGTTATGTTTGTAAAAATATATATGTAATTTGAATCTAGGTTTAAAAGAAATCCATATCTCGATCCAAGTCAAGTTTCAAATTTCAGATAACGTTTTAACTCCAGATTTTAAATCAGAGGTTAAATGAAACAATTTGACACAGTTACTTTCTGTTTATTTTATTTTTCTATTTCAATTAAATTCGATCTGTTTCCTCGATGCTTCTACATCGAAGAATTCCACACGATATCTGAGCAGTTGCCCTCCTGATCGCGATTAATTGGACAGGTTAACGATCGACCTCCTCCTCTGCAAATCGAGGGTGGGATTGTGAGATTCTTTCGAAACTGAATGCCATTGTTTCATTCTTATGTGTCTCGTTTCCTCTTGTGACCATTCCCACCGAGCATCGCGATAATTTCATCCAGCACGCCGGCCGTCCGTTCGTCCACCCGTTTTTGTCCTCCCTCACCGCATTCGCTTGCATAAGAAGACTCGGTGAAAATCCTTGAAGGATTATACCAGGAGCCTCGAGCGCTCTTCGTCCTTCCGGGAAGTACGTGGTCGTTTAATGCAACATTTTTATATCGTGCAATCTCGCCGAAGTATCTAAGAAATGTGCTCTATCGTCCTTGTATCGGCGTGTATCGACGTTTACTTAAAGATACAGCTAAATGACGAAATAAGAGAGACTCTAATTTAAATCGTATAACAATTTCAAGAAGAAATGTTTCGCTTTGCTCAGTGATATTTCCTCGTCTTTATTTTTTGTATTTGTATTTGTACTTGTAGCTTTTTGTATGTATGTATATGAAACGACGTTTGAATTATAAAAAAAGAAAAATCACGCTTGCTGTTGTTGGAGTTCTTTCAGCTCTGTTGACTGTCATTAAAATTGGGTGCGATCCTTGGTGCGACCGAGATTCCTGAATAGTCAGAATCGATGCACCGACCGAGAGTAGTGACTCTGCAAATTTCGTGCAATGCTCGTATGTATGTTCTTCAAATTTGAACACTTTCTACGAGGAAATGAGCGAAAGGTAGCAAGTGAGTGGACCAACTATTTTATTTTTCATCTTCACGTACAGTGGAGTGCACGCATATCGCGCAATTAATATTGAAATTATTAATTACTACGTTGATATACATACACATACATAATAATAAAATATTTCATTGATGTAAATGAGATAATTTATGCGAGCCTACGTAACTTTAACATTTATATAACGTAATTATTCAAACGTAATTTAAATTAATAAGACAAAATCTATCATTCTGCATCTGAGAAAAAGAAATGAAAGGGAATTAATAAATTTGCGTCACATTAACTAGGAAGGATCGATGATTTTCTTGTCCAATGCTCTCGTCCTTGTAGAAAGAGTCCTACAAATGACATATCACGGACGTAGTCCGGAGGAGACGCACAATAACATATATTGCAGCATTCTGAGGTTAAAGGTCGCTTCTCTCCTTCGTGTCGACGATGTTCTGCAACAATCGGGACGTTACCATTTGCTGTTACCGTTGTCATATATATTGCCGTGACACGTATCGTTACTCCGCACGCAGCTGGCGGACGAGAAGTAGGCATCTCGTGCGACCATAGAGTGTGTTTCACCTTTATTTTCACCGTTTCATCGCGTGAAGCTGGTCGCGCAGTCGGGGGGAAAAGAAACTGTGAAGGCCTCGTCTCGAGGCCACTCATGCACGCAAAATGAACGTTTAACGTTTAACGGTGGCGCTCCAGGATAACGGAAAAGATACCACGTGCTCTTGCCTGGATTCGCGTGATATCGTGATAGTAAGAGCGATAACGATAACGCAGACGATTCTCTTGGGTCTTTGATTATTTTACTCTGGAGTTGAAACGAAGCATTCGCGCAGTGTTAGAAAATTTGTCTCACGATTTCCCTTGTGGAATCTTCATTTCAAATAATTACAAACTTCTTTTCTTCCTGTGTCCCGTGTATTAATCGACTATAATTATGTATTTTATTTTTCTTGCACCGAGAAAAGTTGTGGTATCCTCTCCGGAATGAATTTTTTCTTGTACGTACGTATGTACGTATATGTGTGGAATTCTTTTGCTGAATAAATTTTCTTTCTAATTAGTGAGCAAAAATTGTGCCTAACCCGCTCTCCGGGATGATCTCGTTTCTCTCGAAGTGGGACTTCACTTCCCCTCTGTGCTGGCCTCCGCGTGGCGTATACCTGTTTTTCGATCACAAAAGTACTCTGCGCACTTGGTCCGCATTATAAACGAAGACCTCGACGGGATTAGAACCCCATTAATTAATTAGTCTTGCCTCGCCGAGCCTGGAAATGTTGCTCCGTCCGCGCAAAATTAGTGTCTGATTGGTAATTAGGCGAGTTTCCGAGTACACGCAATACCGATCGATCAGTGGCACATGGACTCGCGCAATAAATCCAACGAGACGCACTCGTTTTTCGTCTTAACAGAAAATCTAATATTTGAAATAAAATATGTAACATTATCAACGAGCTAAATATTGGTCATATTGTGAGAAGAAAGAATAAGAAAAATTATGAAAGAGAAAGAAGATGTCGAGTATAATAATCTTGTTGACAAGTCACATAACAAAAAGTTTTCTTTCCAACGGGTATGTTCGACAACGGTATCGTCGGGCAACCGGCGGGCAATCAGCTAGAGCCACGGCTACCGATAGAAGAAACCAGGTGTGTTCTCCTGGTAGAACCTTCCTATGCGACCAGAGATCGGCCAGAAGTGAGGCAGAGTGGGGAGTTCATATAAGACTCCAACCAAACGCCTCTCCCAGTGACCAGTCTCGACACGAAAACTCATCAGCTGAGCTTCCTCGGCTGCTACGATACACGACACGACAGAGAGAAAGAGAGAGAGAGAGAGAGAGAGAGAGAGAGAGAGAGAGAGAAGAGAAACAGAGAGAGAGAGAGAGAGAGAGAGAGAGAAAGAGAAAGACGGGAAAAGAGGAAAGGCAGAGAGAGGGAAAGAAAGAGAGTGAGAAAGAGAGAGAACGAGAGAAAGAAAGAGAGAGAGAGAGAGAGAACGAGAGAAAGAGAGAGAGAGAGAGAGAGAGAAAGAGAAAATACATTTTTCGAGTATATTCCAGGCATTCCGAAATATTTCATCGATTAGGGATTGACATTTCAAGTTTAATTCGTCGTACCGCCTACTCAGGATGTCACGGCAAATCCTTCCGCTCGTCCTAGTGCTCTTGGCTGCGCAGGGTGAGTTCTTCCGCCTCTTTAGCTTTGTCTTCGCTTTGGTGGTCTAATTTGCTTTGCCTTTTCTTTGCCTTAGTTCTCTGAACCTTTGAGCGGAACCCTTGAGGATCTTTGATCCGTTCCTTATCTTATTAATCCGCAACAGTGCGATAACAGAAATTAATAATAATACTTTGCTGACGCTATTTAGATTTCGTGACAGCGTTCTTTATTTCAATAAGAGTAAAACTTGATTATTTTTTGAAAATTCTTTTTATCAAGATGAAAAGTTGACGTGCAATTAGAATATTAATTAATAATAACATTCCCGAGAAATTTCGTAAATTGTTTGCTTTTTCTTTTCACAGTGTTTAATAATAGATTTTCGTGTTTCCGTAATGCACTAATAAAGTTTCGATGACGTGACTTGACAAAACTATTAAATATTTACACCTAAGACGTACAACTATTTAAGATTTACATAGAAAGTATGGAAAGAGAGACACAGCCACGAAGAAATTAATAAGATTATTATCAACTTCTTCCTCTGTATGACTAACAAATTATCAGTATTATTAACAGAATAAATGAAATTATGGAAGTATCGGACGTATCTAGAAACGGATCGCCGTGATCTTAATGCATTCTAATGATTATTAGGCTTTCACTTTCGAGATTGGCACGTACGGCTATCTTTATAAATAATAAGAGTCGTTCGATAAAACCGAGCTGAGTTGTGAGCGAAGTGTGAGAATGAAAACGGTGAAATTTCCACGCGGCCGTCGTTCTGCTGTGAAACTGAAAAAGCACGGACTGTTCTACTTTCCTCGTGAATCCTAACGACGACGGGCACACCGATTAAAGTGATCCCCTCGTGTCCTTCGCGACGCCAACGATGATTCATGAGAACGACCCACTTCATTTTCTAATACGACTTACGTCGTGACGGATTAACGTTTCATTCTAACGGTATCCATTCTTTCAATCAATGACGAGCGCTTTCATTCATCGTTATCGTTATTCTCACCTTTCGTCAAATCTTTAGAGTTTCTATCAAATTATTCCTTGAGAACTTTATTTGCACATAATTAGAATAAAAACTTGATTAACGAAATAATCAGAATTATATCTTGGATTTTTATATTGTTATCGACAATATAAAAATGTACGAATTGCATTGAGAAAATAATATAATGTTTAGAATAATAAATTATTCAAATTTTCTTAAATTAATGCGATATTCTCACGGAGTAGAGTAGAGAAAGTAACACATCAGCTTTTACTGTGCGCGATATAAGCATATAGATCTTACTTTGATAAATGAGAAAAAAGATATCGTTGAGTTAGATAATAAAGTGTCACGACTACAATTTTCATTGCACAATCCCCTCGCGACATCCAAAGTGCAGGATCTGTAAGCAACGTGTCTATGTCCTGCTCCGTAATTATTACACGCATCTTCGTAAGAACAATGACGGCCATTCACCGGGTTTCACACATCTCGAGAACTTTCTCCCATGTGCCTTGAGTGAAAATATGAAAGTAGCTCGACCTGCAATTCACTCTCTCTCTCTTTCTCGCTCGTCTCGCTCGTCTCGCTCGTCTCTCTCTCTCTCTCTCTCTCTCTCTCTCTCTTTCTCCCTCTTTATCTCTTAATTTTTTACAGCTGTATAATTATTTATTGAACATCCTTTGTAGCGAAAGCATGCTACTTGGAATTTCATTATCCATTGAAATTTCTGAGCCTAAGTCTTGAAGTATCTTTAAGAGGCTCTTCCTTTACCAATCGAGAAGCGATATTGCTTGAATTAGCACAAAGTATGTGCTAGTGAAATCTTGTACTTGAATTAATTTTCTCTCCTTCCTTTATATTGACTTACTTTTCCACATTATTACACTCTCTTGCTCTATGTCCTTTAACTTCGTGTGAGTCTCCTACAGCGCTTTCCTTTCTTCGCCAATATTTGCAATACCGCAAATCTCTTTATTCTATCTCTTTCTTTGCGCCGTAACTCATAGATATCGTCGTCGACCAACAACAGTGGTATCGATCTTTCAAAAATATCGGCACCAATAAATCAAGCTCCGTCGGTCTTACGCAAGAGATTCTACTTTCTACGAGACGATGTTTGATTTTATTACGGAGATTACTTTATAGCCGGCCGGCCGGTAACCACCGACAATGTCTAGCACGTAATCTTCCCAGAGAAAAGTTTATTCATTACTTTTCGCTTTGTTCCGTATTTATTTTCGCTTCCCACACCGGCTTTCCCGACACAGTAGCACTGCACGAGTTGTTGCGTTTTGATCGATTCCGGAAATGGCGATGTAACAGCGAGAAAAACAGGCGTTCCGCTCGACGAGTCATTGATCGATCAGTAGGATAAAAAAGATGGATAAACGGGGATAAAGTAGGAAGGGAAAGGGGAAGTTGCGGACCTTGCGTACGATGTTGTTTGCGTGGCTTGCAACTTGCATTTGGCGCGACTCGTGGCCCGCAGCTAAGGTGGGGCCTCGCAACCTTTGCCTATCTCGCTCGTCGGGCCCTAACCGCTCTCAGAAAGGACTAAGAAGGCTGGCTCTATTTATTTGTCCGTGTCATAATGGAAGAGAATGTGAGGGCCGAGAGACAGAGAGAGAGAGAGAGAGAGAGAGAGAGAGAGAGAGACAGAGAGAGAGAGACAGAGAGAGAGACAGAGAGAAACTCGTGACTTTTGTCTCACTGTTTAGAAACATCTGCAAAAGAGTTAAATGCATTTTTCCATCAGCTCCGTCAACGCGACGCCGCGGCAAATTTCTCTCGTGCAAATATAAACCAGCCGGTGCCAGATCGAAAGGTGTTGATGAGCTCGTGAGTAAATTGAACTACGAAATAATCCGGAATGAAAGATACGAGGGAGGCTAACAGAAACTTGGACATCGTGGAACTCGCATTTTTATTCCTGTGAATCGCCGAGTGCCGAGTCATAACAAAATCATCCTCCGCGCCAACGACAAGTCGTCTGTCTCTATTCGCGCGCCGTGAAAAATTCCCATCGCCGGTGAGAAACCTGCACTCGTTGTAAATTCAAACGGAGACTTCCCGTATCGTCGTTGTCTGCCGCTTCGCGTTTTGCGCGAATATACGCGTGAAATCTTCACGACGGAATTTCGCGAGGAACAAATCGGAGAGCCCGCGCGCGCGGCGCTCCCGCTTTCAGAAGTAACGACCGCGCCATTGCGAGCGACTACTTACTCTTTACAAGGAGTCGTAAAGGAAGGGAAAGTAACCCGGTGCTGCGGCGTTAACTAAGCGTCCCGCTTGCATAACGCCGACGGCGATGACGCTCCAGGGATGTCTCCACCTATCCGCGCCACCGTGACGACCGTCTCGACGCGACGTGCGCGTAAATCGATTAATCGCGCCGGTCGTGACTAATCGGATTTGTCTCGTCGCTTCTTCGAACGCAAGACCGCCCTTACGCGGGTGCTTTCATCGCGATTCTTATTACGGACGTGACGACATTTGCATAATTCTCCGCGAAGATGGTAAACGATATCGTTCGACTTTATACGGTCTGGTTGATACGCGCTACTACCACTTGAGAATATTCTTTGTCCGGCTACTCATGCGATAGTAGACAAAATACAACGACAATTGCTTCGACAAATTCGAAGAACTCTTCGAAGAAACAAGCTCGCAGTCCTCAGTGCTGAAAAAATTCGAGGAAATCGCGAATCGCGGAATTATATAGAAAACAACTTGTGCTCAAGTAGGCTCAATTACTGAGTGAGTGTCGTGTGTGTCGATCGGTTCTAGATATTATTACGATACTTTCATTAATAATTAAGGCCGTATCTTGTGCAATCGTCGTTGGAAATTCGCAATCTCCAGACGTTCTCAGACGGCGAGCGCAGTTCGCTTCCCCACGAGATTATCCGTATCGTGAGATCGATCGTGCCTCGCGTTTCTTCCTTTATCCGCTCGGACCAGTTGGCCAACAATGCGCAATTCTTTTCGTGGCTAAATGCCATCGCAAAAGCGTGCGCATGATACACGTATATAAGCGTCGCGCGATCTTAGTGAAACGATTACCAACATTGCGATGTGGTACTATCGCGAGTGCCGCGCGAAATCGCACCAAGATCGCAACCTCATCTCGAATAGTATTGAGAGAGAGAGAGAGAGAGAGAGAGAGAGAGAGAGAGAGAGAGAGAGAGAAAATCTATTGAAGATTTTAGTCGGTCGTGTTCCGTTGCTTCTTTTATTTTCATCTCGATCTTAATTCTTGATACAGATCTTGATAGAGGGAGAAACAAGAAGAAAAAACGAGCCAAGGCAAGGGTTCATTTCGTCTTGCAATGAAATTATTAAATTTTAGGATTAAATCATTTAATTCTTACGAACGAGCGAGGGAAAGAGAGAGAGAGAGAGAGAGAGAGAGAGAGAGAGAGAGAGAGAGAGAGAGAGACTAAAATAGCGCAGCTTAAAACTCAAAAGGACTGTTACAGAGAAGATAAATCAAAAAGCAGGATGATGTATTTATGTTGTATGTTTTAATATTTTAATTTTCTCACTACGGCTGAAATCGATGTCGAATCAAAACAAGATCAAAAGCATGAAGTCAAAATCAAATGAAGTCGTGTGCTTATAATAGCTTTGACCGAATCGGCGAAACATTCCAAGTGTGGTCGAATCAGTGGATGAGGACGAGTATTAGGTGGATCGACCGGTCGATCGAATCTTTCGTACACTCAGAGGGGCCCACAGAGCCCCAAAGAAGCCTGTGAAGGGGGGGGAGTGATGCAGGGGTGTGGAGCAAAGCTGCCCCCGAAGGTTGTAAGTCAAGGCTAGGCACTTTCACTCGTACTGTCTTGGGAGCGTGCCTCACGCCAGCTTCCCACCTTATTTTACTATTTGTTTTTCCGGAGAATGCGCGCCTTCGATCACTGGATCATTAGCGGAATAATCGAGCATTACGGTGCATTGCTCGACACCGATGGTGTTACATGCCATCGATTCTCTAAGGACTGTACGCATTTTGGGCGCGGCGGCGCGTAGACTGTGCGAGAAAATTATATTTCTGCGGGGAATTTTATCCATATTGATTCCCGGAGCCTCCAATTATAGAATCCAATTATAGTTGATCGAGGCAATTGTTTGACACAATACTTGTTCTTTAACCCTCTATAATGTCATGTAACTTTGAAGTTACATACTGATATATCGATGTTCTTAACTTAAATTACATATGTATACATAGATATTGTAGCCCACTATAACTCCAAAGTTACAAACTGTTTTTTAACATGAAATCTTTGAAAATTGTAAATTAATTGTTAATATATATCTGAAATTATAATTATAATTGCTGATTAGTATTTGCTAGTTTCACATTTACAAAATTTGTCTCATGTCCACGAAAGAATAGAGTTATGGAGGGTTAATGTCACAAATATCCTTATTTGAAATGCTAATGCAGAAATACGTTCTATCGATACTTTCGACTAAAATAGCGATTGATTTCAAGTCACAAGAAATGCCTTTTAGGATTCCGGAGCGACTCGTGAAACACGTTCTTACGAAATAAAAAAGAGCGAAAGAATATGCACGTTGCTGCATCCTGTGGCGATAGAAAGATTCTAAATTGCAAGGACGACGTCATATCCCGACGTTAACTTTCCACTTTCGATTCCACACGTGGATGTCCTTCTGCGAGGATCCGCGTATCCGAGGAATCTCTGAATCGGTGGAAGAAGATCGGTGTACATGACGTCATCTAAAAATATCACGCGTATTTTGCGCTTATCGTAATGTGGAAGAAGGATGCACATTCCATATATTTCAGATTAATCAGTCGAGTGTTATCCTTGAATCATGAATTCATCTCGCGTGTGCAGCATCGTCTTAATGTCGCATGATTTTTTGAGTCAATCTGACGATTCTGAATTTTATCGCGATGTTAAACGAAACTGTGCGTGGTCAGAATAGAATCGGTAATATCGCAGGTTCCAGTGTCCTTGATATTCACCCAGTTCTTCTGTTGTTCTCCAAGACGAGAACGCATTTCGTCGATATTACGGAAAGAGACGACAGACAAAGAGAGAGAGAGACACACAGAGAGAGAGAGAGAGAGAGAGAGAGAGAGAGAGAGAGAGAGAGAGAAAGAATCCTTGTTGTCGACACGATTCCGCGTACTCCGTATTTTGTAACTGGTACTCATTAGGTTAGGGAATGAGAAGGGAAAGAGATAATGCGCACAAATTGACAGATAAATCGAAAGTTCGTTAATGAGGTGATTCCAGATAATTCGTTGCAGCTCGATTAGCATTGAGAAAGCAGAAAGCGATATCGAGGGAATGTTTGCTTCATAACCAAGTTAATTATTTTCCTTACGAGGTAATTAATTATACGCCTGATGCAACGTACATTCCTTCGGTTTCATTCAATTTTATACCTAATCAGTTTAAAAAGCTTTCCTGAATTTAAGTAATTGATTTATATCTTTATCGGTCTCTCTCTTCTTTTCTCCCGAGAACTTCTTCAGCTAATCACCACTCATTTATTTTCTGCTGCTACACGCTCTGCATTAACACGCTGTATTTAATGTCTGCTAACAAAAATATCACACTATTTGAGCAGAAGGGGCAATTTTTAAATAATCATTTGACAAATTCGCACACATTATCGTCACGAGACAAAGTTTAAAGTTATCCTAGTTTCCTCAAAGATTCCAATTTCTTTAACGAGATACGATCCAAAAGGCAAAGGGTCTGCTATTCTCCGCTATTATAACAACTGTGTTATGTGAAAACACAATCACAACGCTGAACTAACAAGAACGTCATCGACGTCATTAACACGGGAGAATTGGTCATAATGAGGCTGAGAAACGATGAACGGAGATACATTGATGATACTACGCTTATATAGGCTCGTTAGCCCAGAAACAACAACAAGAAGACCCTTGTCAGACGAAATCGCGAGTGGTGGGCGACATCGACTATTGCGATCGCTACTGGGAATGTGTGAACGGTCGTCCCGAGCTCTTCGACTGTCCGAACGGACTCGTGTTCGCCGGCAAACATCGCGGCGTCACCGAGGGTTGCGATTACCCCTGGAGGGCGAACTACTGCGATGGTAAACGCCAGGCGAACCCGCCGATCCAGACCGACCATTGCGACTGGCTCTACGGTATTTTCGGCCACGAGACCTCTTGCACCAGGTACTGGACCTGCTGGAACGGCACCGCCACTGAGCAGCTGTGCATAGGTGGCTTGCTCTACAACGAGCGGGCGAGGTCCTGCGACTGGCCCGAAAACGTCGAAGGGTGCCAGAAACATCGTAAGTAGGATGGAGACGAGTTTACTGGCGAAGTCTTGAGAGAGTTTCCATCAGAAACGCACATAGAATGCACTTGTACGAATACGCGTGATTGAATTCAAGATTCGCGTCTGTCTGTCGTTATCAAGCTTTTCGGGTCACGTCTATTATTTCGATTTCACTCGTCGTATATATATCGTCGTTTGTTTGTTGCGAGTTGTTCGAACAATCTTCCGTAACAACAACAGCCAGCAATTCTCGTTGTGAATTTGGGATGTTTGAGTTTGGAGTCTCCATTATTATTTTTTGTCCTTTCGTTTTCTCACACGATCGGGTAGGGAATTGCTTGCATTCGGCCGGCTTGGATCGAAGTGCCTCTAATACGTGTTTTTAGACGAGTTCAATTCTCGAGAGGCGCGCAACCCGTTCCGTTCATTTTCACTTTCGAAAGTGGGCGAACGGGACGCGTTCGCGAGACGCGTTTCCTCGTCCCGGCTCCTCGATCCTTCCAGGAGTCAGTGCCCCGAGCAAAAAGGGGCGAGGCACTTAATTAGCATTCGAAGTGAATTCCCGTCGTGCCTTTCTCCCCTCCTCGCGCGCGGAATCGGATGAAGCATTTATTAATTCGCGCCGCGCCGTCTTTTCGAATGCCGAACGTCGGTCGGGGTGCATCCATCGATCGCTACGAGATCGTATCTCCTCGCCTTTTCGAGACTGGAATCTGAAATATAGAGGAGAGACTGTCGCGTAAGAATTATATTTAGAACATAATGGGGATAAGAATCAAGATAGAGAAACCTCCATTTTTAATCCATTAATCTAAGGAGGGAGAAGTACATTTATCCCAAAGTGCTCAATATCCAATGTTTTATTTCAACGCCTCTCAGTGATGTGTTCAAATGAAAACAAGAGACATGCGTTTGCCTGTAACAATTCTGGCTATTTTTACAGGCTTATAAAAAGAAATATTTTTTTTCCGGCAAGAGTACCTTGTCATAATAATAATAATAATAATAATAATAATAATAATAATAATAATAATAATCGCAACGTCTATTCCCCGGGACTGGCAAGTTTTTTACATCCCGGTAAGAGTCTTGTTCGCTTTTCACATAATGGAATTTCGAGTCGATCCATCATCGACAACGAATCCAGTTTGAACGAATGAGCGCATGAAAGTCTGCGACTTTCACCAGCTCGGCTCTTAACTGAGGTAATGAGATATTCGTCGGAAATCCTCGGCGGAAAACCCGAGCGCAATCAGGACGCGGATGCAGATGCTCGCGGATTCACGTCATTGGCAAGCTTCGGCTAAAACACGCGCAAACACTTTGACGTGTTTTTCAGTTCTAATGAACGACGACAATCGGAACGAACGTAATGACGATAATGAGTAGGTGAATACTGGTGGACAAAGCCACCCGATAACTTCGTCAATGATCGCAGTTTTTAACGACGCGATATACTTGCAGCCCTCTGCAACGACGACGCCAACGGTAACGTACCTCTCGGCAAGTCGTGCAACCGCTACTGGCAATGTCAAGGTGGCTACCCGCGCTTGCAGCGTTGCCCGGCCATGTTGGTGTTCGACAGGAGATCCCTGAGGTGCGTTGTGCCGCCGACGGAGGACTGCGACGTCCCGACGACGCCGCCGCCGACCGAGGGCGAGTTATCCGAAGGTCACAACGAGCAGGAACCCGAAGAGGAGAACTTGCCACCGGGTGTGCCACCATTGCCGGCAGGCGCGTTACCGATTCCCTTGCGAGCGCGCGCTAGGAATTAAGAGTCCTGTCGAGGCCGGAAGGACGAAGGAAGCGGCAAATGGTCCCGACGAGCGAGGTCCTGCGGCACCGAACTCGTCGATCGCCGTAACGTTCGGTTCGCAGAATTTGAGAGGTTCTCTCGTCGAGTCTCCCCTGATTCCTCGCGATCCCGTAGATTCGGAATTCTCCCGAATAGTTGTCGAAGAAAACCGAATTCCCTGAGCGATTTCCCTAGATCTTTTGCTCCCGAATGCTCAAAATTGTCCCGAATAATCAGGGTCCTGTGATCGTGTTCCTCGAGGTTGTCAAGAAAACTCACAAAGATCGTAAAATCTTCTAATCATTATTTTTTATCACTACTCCGTAGTGATGTGATAACTATGGAAGATCAAGATTTTCAAGAAATTTTTTCAAAAATATACGAAGACATTCGAGAGATTTTGCCAATTAGGAAAGTTTGGATAAAATTAAAAGTACGAATCAGTTGCAAAAGTTTGGGAACGAATAGAAGGCGAGTATCGAGAGGCTAAAGAGCTTGAATGCAGAAAGATACAACGAAATGAACAACAGTAAGAATTGCTGACGGACGGAAGATGTGAAACTGAAAAGGAAGGTGAGAAAGGCTAAAGTGCTGGCTGCTTAACGAGCAATTTCCATTCTCAAGGATCGAGACTCGTCGACACACCGACCTAACCGATTGAGCTCTCCTCCCTCCCCCGCAAACAGAGACTCGTATCATCGATTTCAATAATAACGTTAATTATGAACATCTCGTCGTTCGGTCTCAGGACCGTCCGCCAATTTGCCTCTGTCACCTCGGTCGAGATGTAAATATTTTCCCACACCTTCCACTTTCTTCCTTGTTTCTCTTATCCTGCTATCTCTTTCCTCTTCCTCCTCATCGCTCTTAATCGTAAGGTGTACACGTAGATCGATTGAAAGAAATTGTACGTTGTATATTTTTTTATACGCGTGTCCAGATTTTATTCGATGTTGCCTGGCTGTACATTGTTACACTCTATTTATCATAAATATACATTTTATATATGTATTACATATATATCGTATTATAAATACACTATATGTACTACATATCGTACTCATTCTCCACGTACGCTACATGCGATTATTCCCCCCCTTCCCCCTCCGAACGTACGTTATTAATAATTTACGTTTATTATTCTTGTTTTTATCTGCAACAACAGCTACTTAGCTAGCGGAAACTAATAGAAATGTACATTTTTTTTATTCCTTCTTGTCGATTGATTTGTTCCATTATCTTTCGTCTCTCATAATTACTATAATATTTTCAAATTAGTCTAGTACGCGCGCGTGTTTCTTATATTGTCGTGATTTTACAAATCTTGATTTTTCGTGTCTTGCAATTGATTTTCTCTTTGATCTCTTTGATTGTTTGGTCAGTTTTTAAAATTGATTTTTCACAAGTGCGCATCTAATTTTTAGCTTTGCGCACTAACCTTGAATTAAAATCACCTGTATCTCATTGCAAAAATTTAAATGTGTTGGCAAATGTGTAGTTTTTTGTCGTTTGTGATTTCTTGATTCGTTGTTTGCTGATTTGAAATATCGAGCATCAAAAATGCGTCTCCGCGCTTACAGATTGTTGGAGCTGAAATAAACGTAAGAGTACACTTAGAAAATAAAAAAAAAATGCTCTTTATCAATATTGAATTAAGTTAATATTTAATAATATCTCGCGATGTCAACATTACTTTTGCCCTGGATAAGATGCTAAAAGCAGAATGTAACATAAAATATAAATACAAACCAGTGAGGAACGTCATCTGGATCCAGGCAAGTCAGGCTCACCGAGTCGAAAAGTTTTCCGTCTCCGCAAGTGAGAAGACGCGGATGTCCGTCCACACAGGTGATCAATCTGCCGCAGTCACCTGGCACGGGGAATCTAAAAATCGCGCCATTTTAACGTGCATTCGTGTTTATATCAAAATTTATATTTATACAGATATATACTAGTAGTATATATATATATATATTTATTTTTAACCTTTTGAAAGCATTCCTAGACATTTTCTACTTCGAACAACATTGTTTAATCTTTGCTACACCCCGCATAGTTTGCGGAAAAAGAGCTACGTGTTTGTTGATGTGGTATGAAATGGCGTATTCGCCAAACACGCGCCGGCGTTTGTGTCTCATCTGTTTTTCTCTCTTGCTCTCTTCCCAGTCTTTCAGAAGGCGACCGGTTCTTAAATCGAGAGGTACGCACAAAATGCGAACATTCTGACATTTAACTGCGTCCTTTTACTCTCGCATTTGGCAGCGCGCAGTATTTCCTCCCCGAATCTTCCTCGAGGTGAAAGAGAGAGAGAGAGAGAGAGAGAGAGAGAGAGAGAGAGAGAGAGAAGAGAGAGAGAGAGAGAGAGAGAGAGAGAGAGAGAGAGAGAGAGAGAGAGAGAGAGAGAGAGAGAGAGAGAGAGAGAGAGAAGAAACGGGAAGGAAGAGATGGAGATAAGAAATTTTATTATACTTCGTAGTCGTGTAGAAAAATGACGTACGTGCAGCTGCTCATAAATACGAAACAAAGCAAGCGGAAATTCACACAGGCATATGAATTATGCATTAGAATCTAACAATGCGATCTCGGATATATAAATTCTATCTTTAGCTAGCTATAGCAGGAACGAACAGTGAACGCATTAATTAAATGTAAACCTAGTGTCACTAAAAAAAAAATCACGAACTTTCCAAATTGTGAAAATGATGAAAAAAAAAAATTAATTTTGAAAGACAAGCGTTACACTGGGTTGTTCAATAAGTTTGTGGAGACCTGTGATTTTTCAAGGCTGATACTTTTTACAGTTGGGCATAATTTTGTCGAATAACGTATCGATCGCTTTTACAATGGCGGATCGTTAAAAAAAAATAAAATTACGCTTAATTATGAGGTTATTGGCTTGGAGTTTATCGTAAACTCTCTAGAAACTTATCGAACAATCCGATATTTATCATCCGTATCACTATTCAGAGCTTGGCTCCTCGAATTGCACTTGCCGAATTAATGGATAATGAATAAAAGAAAAGTCAAGAAAAGAGAAACACGCGCACAGGCCCAATTAAAAATAACGATTAACTCTCTTAAAGACACGCGCGCGCGCGCTTATTAATACCACCGAATCGGCCTCTTTCCCGAAGAGAAAGCAAGGCGAGACGAAGAATCGAGCGCATTGACTTGACCACACGCCCACCCACGAGGAATGCATCGATCGCTCGTGGTCATTTTTATTTCCGCATCCTCTCTCTCATTACGCGCGCGACTTCTCGGAAGCGCCGTCAATCGCGCCGTGACCGCACCGTAAGCGTATCGTGACCACGTTACCTCGGATAAGGCCAGAATTTCGTGGCGGGGCTATGGGGCGGCAACTTGTGCGGGCACTTGAAGCCGACTATGGCCTCGGGGTTGCACAAGGGAATGAGTTCGTCGGGCCAGACGCACGTGTGGGTCTTGGCGTTGTAAACCAGACCGGGATCGCAGTGGGCCTGATGCGGCTCGCCGTGGATGCACTTGACGTAGGTGGTGCTGCAGCCATTGCTATCCGGGTACATGCCGAACTGGTACTCGCAGCCGGGGCTGCTGATGGGTGTATCTGAAGGAGAAAGAGGACGATCCGTTCCGAAAAGGGATTTCCCAAAATTGTCGTACATGGCGTTTAGAATCGGGTCCACATTCGTTCGCTTATTTCGTGTTTGAGGCAGAAAGAGAATAATACGGGAGAAACGAGAGTGCAAATTGGAAAACGCGCCGAGCGAAAGCGATTATTGACGAAGAAATAAACGAAATAAAGAGACGAGATAAAGAGACTCGCCCGAGGCCGGAATTATAACGATCGCGGCATTAACGTGACCCACTAAGGCGCTGCCAAAATCGCCCGCTTTGACGCAACTTTTACTTTCACGACAATGTTTCTTTCGTCGCGCGACCGACAAACGGCTCCCGCTTGCACATACAGGTCGCGTAGCCTTGCAAAGAGATAACGATACGAATAATAAGGAGAGGGGAGGGGAGGGGGGCGAAGGGATTGAATGACAAAGAAATGTAAGTGGTAAAAAATTTTGAAAGGCGACAGATGGATGGAATATCGGGAATGTGGAGCGATATACTTACAGTCGGCCTTGCGATTGCCGCATTGGACGGCCCAGTTATAATTACAGTGGTTGTGGATCGCGCCGTGTCCGTCGAACATAAGCCCATTCTCGCAGTACTCGAATGTGAGAGTACCGTTGGTGCAAAGGAAGAAGGCCCCGCAGTCCTCGGGATGAGCGTAAGCATGAATTCCGTAAGGGTCGGGGCATGGCGGGGCCCCGAGTAGGGTGGCTCCCTGGGCTGTGGGTTGAGAAAGAACATAACATAAAACGTAGAATGAAGAGTGAAGGTGTTTCGGTTTTTCGGATTTTCAGATTTTCAGATTTTCACGAGTATGTATGAGTTGTTTATTATTTATTATTTAAATTATTTCACTCAAAATATTCTCATCCTTCTGGGAATTAAGTTCTGGATGATTGGGTGTGTAAAAAGAAGTATTATCTTTAGAAGCATTCCACTCATCATGAAAATTGACCGAAATACCTAATAATGCGAACTTAACGTCGATAAATTTATTAACATTATTCTCCCAATTACAACATTAAAATGTTCGATATAATGATCAAAATAACATATCTGTGCTATATTATGCTATAGGGTATCACACAGTGTCGTTTATACGTATTAATCATATTAAAGTTCACTTAAATCTAAAACTGTATTTTAAAATTAATCTCAATTTCGCAAACTACGCGTCGGGATTAATTGTTTTCGCGGCGTTTTATGACAACTATGACAAACATCTGCGTTAGCAAGAAACACGGCTTCGTCGATCGAGTTTGCTGACGCAGCGATTTCCGATAAAAGAGGATAAAAGACTCGATTCGCTTGACAGCCTCGCGAACCTCGCTCCCCCGAGCTTTTTTCCGCCTTTTTCGAGCCTACGTTTCAACGGCGAAGCGGAGTGTGACGAGCGCCATACGCTCGGCAACAGAGAAAAAGAGATGCGGCGCGAAAGCCAGGACTGACTGCGCCCATGCGGAAATAATTGACGAGGAGAATTCGAATTGCATCGAAAGTGCGAGTGTCGCGCGAATTTAGAAAGAGATCCGTTCGCGCGAGGCTCGAATTGTGATTCGTCGAGATTCGTCGCAGAATGCGACGCGGCTGCCCGCCATTATGTCACACACGTCCTAACATATGGTGTCGACGGTGAAAGTATCGCGAGGGTGATGTGTCGTAGATTTGCAAAGAGACGCACGCGAGGTAGAAAGTGCCGAATATGGCCGCGGAGGCGCAGTTCGCGTCTCTCGGATGCACAAGGAAGAAGATGAAGAGAGACGCATGAGCGCATCCCGCGAGTCGGCCATCGGGGATGCACGACATTGCGCATCGAGGTGCGTAAGAAGAGGTGAAGGTGACCGTGCAGGTGATAGTGGCGATGGTGGCGATGGTGGGTGGTAGTGGTGGTAATGGAGAACTTACCACGTGCCAAGACCGCCAGGACCAACAGCAGGGTCACGCTCCTCGGGTAGTTACTCATCATTGCGGTCCCTCTTTCTTCGAGCTCAACGATCTCTTTGACGCCTGGCTACTGGACTCTGTGACTACTGACTGAAGTCGGACCGCCGCCGATTGGCGCGCACTTATCGGCCTCGGTACACCTCGGCACACGACAGTCTCCTCGTCTCCCTTCACTCCCTTCACCACGGCATCGCGCTGGACCCCACCCCAGGGTTTCTCCAGGTGCCCCTGGGTCGACGCTGTTTTGCTTGCTTAGCCTGTGTGCCGCAGCGTGTGTGACGTTCAGCGACGCTGAGAGCGTGATGAACCGTCCGGAAATTCAAGCTGACTGGGAACTAGTCCTACTTCGTCGGAGAATTCGTCGCGAGGATCGTCGCGAGGGGAGAGGGAAGCTTGAAAGAAGTCTGGAAACCTGAAGTGTTTAGAAATCGAGATTAAAATGCCGGCGATTTACGAATTAATACGATGAGGAGACGGTCGAAAATTGATGAAGAGGTCGCGCGATGAAAATTTGCAGGAAGGATCCTCTTTTCGACGTATCCGAAGACACACGAGAGCTTGATACTCGTCGATCCGCTGAAGCCTGGTCTAAGAAGAAGAATACTTCGAAATAAAGAAACACCCGAGCGATTCGCGATTCTCGATCTTTATAGTCTCTCTAATCTTGGCTGGCATCACGCTGAGAGAGAAAGAGAGAGAGAGAGAGAGAGAGAGAGAGAGAGAGAGAGAGAGAGAGAACGTGTCTCTCGCGTGAAATGTCTAGGGATGTAACGATACGCACGTACGTGTGTATGTGTGTGCACATACACACGTGCGCTTCGCGTGCAACTTTGTTGCACAAGCTCGCGTCTTTTTCCCGCATACTTAATATCGTGCATTTCTGCGCTCGGTGAACGGCTGGCGCGCGGCTGGTGGCAATATTATCTCTCAACGCTTCGCGTAATTGACAACTTGGGATATCGCAATTATGCGATGCCCGCGGAGTAGCTCTCGTGATTGTGAGTTATTGCGCATCGTCCGAAGCGACGAGCGCGAGAAGAGATTTCAGCAGGCGGGAAATCACGACTCCAGCGAAGCAAAGTTTTGCTCCAGACGTATTTAGATATGTTTCTTCAGCGCGAAACGCTTTCTTCGCAAAACGATATGTTAGAGATCCGATGCGCGCTGCTCGCAATTTTAAAAAGAGCCGACCATTCGTTTCGAGATCGTCAAATCGTCGCGATAAAAATTACGACTCGAGATTTTAGCAACGGTGCGTTCAGGAATCGCCCACCGTGTAATGGCTGCTTCTGTTTCGTATGTCGTCGTCGATATTTATTTATTTGCATTTCTATCGCGCGCTCTCTAGCTCTGCCAAACATTCAGTTGCTGAAATTCGAGCGCGCTCCGAGATGAGAGAAAATCGAGGTTATTCGCGGAAATAAGGATATGGCAATTCAACAAGGACAACGGATGGTTGCGTTCGACGGTTAATGCCAAGGTGCGATCCTCCTCCCGTGACATCATCGGAGATGCAACACGCATTTCTGTACGCGATGTAACCGGCGAACACGTGTAATCGCTTAGCTGAAACGTGTACACATGGCGCGAAACGGCGAACAGCGATGCGATTGTATGCGCGCGCAGGCAGGCAGGCCCCGGGGCCTCAACTAGCCTTACGCAAGATCCATCGTTGGCGGCTCACGACGGAGAGGCCCGAGATTGCCGGATAGTGAAAGCAGTCGGGCCAAGAGCTGAACGAGTCGATAGATCGATCAAAAGATCGAAGTGAACGACGACGACGTGAATCACGACAACGGTTGAGGATTTTAACGGTATAAAGATTGCGAGATTATCTATGGACAATTTTCCCAGAAAGTAGCAGCGCGAGACGTTAGAGAAAGAGAAAAAGAGAGAGAGAGAGAGAGAGAGAGAGAGAGAGAGAGAGAGAGAGAGGGAGAAACGCATGTAACGATCATAGATATAAGATTGTCCTTCCTTGGGGAGGATTGCCTTCCTTCCCAGTCAAGATTTTCATGTCCTGCCAAAGACGTGATTTTGTCCTTTCCTATCGCGTCGAAGGAGTGTTTTTGCTTGTCAAATGTGCCGCCTGATGACTCTTCCTATAATCATAATCATTACTTCTAATATTTCTATCAATAATATATAGATGTACATTACACATATGAAATTTATAATATATGCAGTTGAAAGTTGACGTTTGGGGAAGATGATAGACGCACGATCCATCCAACGATCTTTTCTTGCTCACCAAAATATTCAGCCTTTTCTTTAGTAAGCAACAATTCCGACAAACCTACATGCGTATTACGTCATCAGTAGGAACGAAGAATCCAAAATCTCTATTGTTCGAATTGAACACGCCGGACTCACGTAATGCAAATGGGTGGCTCAGGTGTATTTCGTCGAGCACATCGCGCATTACGTAAAGAGAAAGGTTACAGTCAGTCAAATGAGGAGAAATTCCGTCCGCAGTTCGGAAAAGCGCGGCTCGTTGTTTATTGTGTGTATGCCGTATATTTTATTTCACGGGGTCGTCCGAGTAACTCGTCGATAATATTTAACCCCTTAGCTGTTAATGACGGAGATATCCACGGAATGAAAAGTGGATGGAAACTATCGGCTTGGAAAAATCCTCAATAAACATTTTTATGAGAATCGAACGAGTTTTTGGATATTCGATTCGTGATATTGAATTGACCAGTTAGAATTTTGAAATTTTGACTTAAAATTCAGATTTAACGGCTGCAGAAAGTATTTTGTTTATAATTTAATTAACTTCATCGTCAAGATTATTTTGAATACACACAAGCATTTTTATCGTCCAACAGCTGAGGGATTAATCCGCCATCGAGAGCCATTACCTCTCCATACCGTCTCCGCAGGGAGGAGAGGCAGCAGGGGCTTCGATGAGAAGGCGCGTTGTCCTTTAAGAACGAAGTACGAAGCTGTAACATTTATAATGTCAAGCGTCGCGATGTAACGGGACGCCATAATGGAACGGGTTGACTGATTGTCTGACATTTGATTCGCCGAAGTGAAATCCGGGATGTACGCTCGAAGGTGCGATTTCGCGAGTTCATCGCGTTCTCGCTACGTATTCCGGAGCATCGCGGCCTGAGGAGGATTCTCGATGTCTGAGGCTCTCGCGTCAGAGAAAGTCACGTCCGTCGTGCAACTCGCGAATAGAATACGTATTAATGATTCAACTCGCGCACTCGGTTCCGCCGCAGATATGACTCTCGCGTCATGTAAAATGCGTTCAATTGCCTCGAGTGCGAGCGGTTGACGGGCCGCTCATCGTCGCTCGGCATCGGTCAACATGGAAGATGCCTCCGCGATCGCTCGCATTGCTCCGCAGTGATTACGCTTGAACATAATCGGAGCTTTCTAAAGCCGACGGTATATGGCTCGATTGTTTTATTGATCACTCACATCGTACATATGTTTCTTACGTGCTGTCGAAGTTACAGATATACAGATTCGGCGTAGAATCTCCGAATAACTTTCGAACGAGATTCAAGCATAAACCTGACTTGAGAAGCTCGCCGAAGCCTGTGCAAGTCGGAACACACAAGAGTATTTTCGCGTAAACACCATTGATATGTAACACAGCGCATAATTACGACTACGTATTACGGTGTCTGCTGGATAAAACGTTACCTAAAACCCGGCGACATCGCAGAGTGAAAGGGGATCGAAATTCCCGAATGGAAAATATAATGTATAAATAAAGTCTCATTACATGGGTTACTCAATCGCGGAATTGCGTGCGTGCGCGCGCACGCGCGCGTGTGTGTGTGTGTGTGCGTGTGCGTATGCGTGTGCTTATCCGCGCACTCGTACAATCAAATTCCATCTCCTGCGCGTACATAATCGATAATTATATAAAATCGGACCGGTTCGCGAGCGCGTGCTGAGTTTATCTAACGTCAGCCTGGGAATTAACGCAGCCGCGATATCGTCGTTTCGCGAACAAGTGATCCGCAACGACGTGGCGCGCCGCGGATTTTCCGAATACGTTTACGTAAAAGGAGAAAGGGGTAGCAATTTGCAGCGGGTGGAGCGGGTGGGTGATCGCTCTCGCGCAAAGACTGTGCGCGCGCGTGCGGTGTTTACGTAAGCGCGAGCGCGCGTATCGTGCGTTTATTGTTCTTACGAGTAAAGAGATAAGCGTTGCACACGTAGCCGCGCTTGAGACCCTTCGCTTGGGCGCCTTCGCGCTCTCCCGCTCTCAGTTCTTGCGCTTGTAGTAATCCTCGCTGAAACATTCGAGTGGATTACGTCATGTACAAAAGGTCTCTCACAGAAATCATTCGGTGTCCTTGTTGGGAAGCGATACGAGAGCGGAGAAATTACGAGTCGAGTGGTCGAGTGTGTGCGAGAGTTGCGGATTCGAAATCATCGCGCGGCTCGCGAGTCAATCGCTCTCGCCTCGTATTCGACGCTGCCGTAATTTCTAGCCGAAGGATCAAGAAGAGTCAAATTAAGAAATAAGTCACTTACCATCCTTGCACGTACTCCGGCTCGGTGCACCTGAAACTCTCCTCGTTGTAAACAGTGCCGCTCTCGCATTGGCCCTTCTGCGGCACCACGCCGTTCTTGCAGATGTAGAACTTGGCGCAGTCCTCGGGGTGAGGGTAGGTCGGGTGCGGCAGGACCCTGCCGGACGGGCCGGCGACGTCGCCGTCGGGGCAGACGAAGCCGTCGTCGAGGACGTCGCGTTTCACGTTCTCGCAAAGGCGGCTAGCGTCGGCTGGCCAGACGCAACTCGACATCTTCGGCTCGTAAATCAGTCCGGGCGGGCACGGCACCATCTGCGCCACCCCGTCGATGCAATTGACGAAGCGGTCGCACGCGGTCGGGTCCTCGTGCGTGAAGTAGCCGTTCGCGCGGGGACACCCTTTGCTGCTGTGTGGCTCCTCTGCAATCGTCGGTCGTTTAATTATTATTATTATCCGCGTCGTTTAGTAAGTGAAAGAGAGAGAGAGAGAGAGAGAGAGAGAGAGAGAGAGAGAGAGAGAGAGAATCGTGAATAGAGTATCATACTGTATATTACACGTGGCGGTGTGTAATATACGGCGCTGTGCATACGATATTTTGTAAAGATAGAACGCAGAGGAAATTCGAAGAGCGTCCGAAATCCGAAAAAGAATTGTCCATCGATCGAGGAAACCGGTTTACTCCGAATTTTATTTTAGCGACACTGCCTAACCGGCTACTCTTCTTCTGGTATCGGCCGAATCGCGAGAATGCACACATAGACGAGAGGAATGTTTGAACTTAAATATTGAACATATGTACTTCCTCAACACATTCCCCGTTCGGGGAAACTGCTTCTGTCTGCAGTTCGGAAAATTGCTGTCCCTGAAATCTCCGAATTCGTGCTCGTCATTGATTTTTTTCCGAGCGAGAAGCTAATAGATAGACAATTAATAATTTCGAGAGAAATCTCGTTTCTTTCTCAACTCCAGACGAGAAGAATGGCGTAACGTTAATTTAATTTCATCGTGAGGGTTAGTGATTTGTGGCAGCACGATTCTCCAGCGATTCCCCGGCGCAAAAGGATGCAAACGACGACACGCGTCCATCGCGCATCGTGGATCCAACTTACGTAGTAGGGTACGGTCGCCGCAGGGCACGTTCGCCGGTATGTCGCAGAGCTCCTTCTTGGGGTTGTCGTCCCTGAAGACGAGGCCGTCCTTGCAGAGCCTTTCCTCAGCCTGACCGTCCGCACAGACGTAGTAGAGGTCGCATTGCTCCGAATCGGGGAAGAAACCCTTGAGTTCCGGACATCGGAACTGCGCCCCACTCAAGGTCGCCATAATGACCAGCAGCGGAAGACCGCAAAGAACCACGTGACTCGTCGGTCTCGACATCTCGAAGACGGTTTCGATGGGACAGTCTTACAGTTCCTAGCGGAGCTCTCGTCTCGAAGAGACGTTCTCTTCTCCTCCTTCCTCTTCTTTTTCTTCTTCTTCCCTGCTTCTTCTTCGTTTTCTCCGCCCTCCTCTTCGGCTTCGTCGGCAGCAGCGCGTCGCGACGCTGGTAAAACGTGACTGCGGGTCCTGAATCGCTCGGCGGGCTTGCCACCACCTTGCGTGAGGTCCTTGCTGGCATGCATTTCCAGACCCTCCCTCCTCCCGACTCTTCAACTTCGCCCCCCTTTCGCCGAAAGTTCTCTCTCTCTCTCTCTCTCTCTCTCTCTCTCTCTCTCTCTCTCTCTCTCTCTCTCTCTGTCGCCCTTCCTCTGTCTTATCTGCTCGCGGTGCGCGAGGCTCGCCCTCTTTTCTCTCGGTGCGAGCACATTCTAATGGGTGCAGGTTTTATTGTATCGTGCTATTATCGGTCATGGAGATAGATAGATTCCAGAGACTTCCGGGTGGCGACCGGCGTACCAGCGACTCGCCGCACGCGTTCGCGCTTGCAACTTGCAACTTGTTGCATTTATCCGCGGTCGGGCCGAGTCTGGAAATTGAATCGAGATATTTTCGAAAGCGGAACGCGAGACCGGCGTGTTTGCCTAAGTTATAATAAAGCGATTATGTGCTACGCTGGTTAATTTTCTTCAACCGCTACTCTCCCCAGCTCTGGCAGATTGAAAGATGTGGTCCCGAAATTACATTCAGAAACAATTACCTGCTTGCTTAAGTTAATGGAACGGTGACGTGGCGAATAAAAGCTATTCGATTGTTCGAGACTACCTTGGACGACGTCGCGAACGCTGTGGAATTTAATCTTTCGCCGGGATTTGATCTCCAAAAAAATCTTCGGCAAGTGACATTTGGATTCTTGAACGGGAAAGTTAAATCGGACGAATATCGCGCGCAATAATTCAGCCGATTAACGTGCGACTGCGGTATCTTGTCGGAGAAATATATATAATTTATTTCTTATTTATTTTTTTGATCCGAAAGGATTTGGGTTTCCCATCTTGTTCTTTTTGCTATTCTCTGCAAAGAATTATTCTTTGTGGCGCGAACATTTTTCATAAGCCATCATTGACCAATATTTGAGAAGGCGAAGCGAGAGAGAGAGAGAGAGAGAGAGAGAGAGAGAGAGAGAGAGAGAGAGAGAGAGAGAGAGAGAGAGAGAGAGAGAGAGAAGCATCTCTCGCTCGCTGTTAATCGATTTAACGCGAGAGAAGAGGAGGGGGAGAGCGAGCAAATCGAAAAACAAGAAGCAAGAGAACAGTTCGGGAGAAAGTAATAGTTGACTGATCTGGAGATTCAAGGCCTTTACGCGTTCTTCGCATTCCGTTTCAAGAATTTATTGACGCCAGAATTTGTCCTTTCAATCAACATTTTCTTAAACTTTAAGATAAATTTTAGAAACCGTAAAATTTATCAAGCATTTATCAATACACGAATTAATTTTTACGAAGTAACATTACTGGTTAATTAATTTCATTTTGGAGTAATCTTCAAAATTTTATTTTCCTCCTGAAAGTTAAACGAACTATCGATAAGAAATCGATAAGAAAAATACATTTCACACTTTAAGAAATTTTTTACTAAAATGAATTCTATTAGTTACATCCACCTAAATTATTTATTGATTTAATGAATATTTTTACATTTTTATGAAGTAATAGTACGATCCATATAGTTAATAATTTTTATTTCTTATTAATCAGTCGTCGCAATTTTAAACTTATATCGGGAAATCGAAGAGAGGGGAGGTTGTGGAGCGATGGAGATGATTGGGGGAGGAGAGAAGATTAAATTAGCAGACGTGTAAAGTAAAAATAACTCTTATTCCAAGCACTCAAATAGCTAAACACACACAGGTGGGTTAACACGCTGAGCCGAGGTGACACATGATTAGAATGAACGCGGGCGTCCCGATGCGGGACAGATAAGCGTCGACAATTCCTTTACGGCTTCTTGTCGTCGTCCTTGTACCAATCCTCGCTGCAAGGCAAACGACAATTACTAACTTCCTCGAGAATCATAAAATTTTTAAGTATGATATAATGTGAATGATAATATCGACATGATTCAAGATATGTGCAGTTACTGTTGAAACAGGTAGTCAAATACGAGCGATAGTAACTTGAACGATTTTTCAGTTCAGAGAGAAGTTATAAGCGTGTGCGAAGAGTCTCGTTAATCGATCAATTGTGACCCAAAGCGATCACTTTTGGCCGTTGTACTACGTTGGATATTGATACGATTCGTCGATCGATACGATAGCAATATAATAATTAATATAGTAAGTAGGAGGACGATTCATCGTACCATCCGGGGACGTTCTCAGGTGCGTCGCACCTCTGCTGTTCCTCGTTGTAGACGGTGCCGTCGCTGCATCCTTGCTCGCGCGGCGTTACGCCGTTCAGACACACATAGAACTTCTGGCAGTCTTCAGGGTGCGAGAACTTGGGGTGGTCGATCAGCATGCCTCTGCTGTCGACTTGGCCCTCGTTCGGGCATTCGAAACCGTCCTTCAACTTCTTGCCCACGACTCCACAGCCCTGTCAAGCAATTTACGCGATAGAGCATTTCTCGTAAATTAGAGTCCAAGTTTCCAGCTCGCATCCTATACGATTGCGCTGATTTGCGTTTCATTACTGAAAAGACTACAGTTGACTTGACTGATTCGTCTACTTGAATTTCGTGGAGAATTGTATCTACCTTTATACACCTGTATCTACTAAACAAGGACCATGTAATTTTCTCTGAATTGTCTCTGAGCACTCCTTGAGCTTACCGGACTTACCGGACTTTTAATTTTTCGCTCCGATTTAAAAAATTTCCCTAATTGTAGAGAGAAAGATGTATATAAATTTTAGATTAGTCCGAGAATCTGCAACTATAATTGGAGAAAGGCAACTCCGTTGCCTGCGGAGTGTACTTAGAGGGGACGTACTTTCTCCTGACTATAAATTTAACGGAGAAGCGTGCGACTTCTGCAGCAACGTCCAACGTTCTTACTGAATTTCTTTACCGGTTATCACCGAAATCGATCTGATGTTGAGTCAGACACGAGGAGAATATCAGCCGCATCGGTCAATGCGGGGAGAGAGATTACGGTTTTCAAAATTGAAATATGATCTACTTTTCGGAATTTTGTACAACGCCGATTAAAACTCGACAGATGCTGACTATATTTAGTAAACACGATGGACCAAAGACCGAACGAAGAAATATCGCGGTTTCCTCGCGATCATTTTACCTCGCGACCCGCGCTATCAGGCCACACGCATGTTCCGCTGTACTCGTCGAAGTGCAGACCGGTGGTGCAGGTGATTTCGATCGCCTCGCCGTCGATGCAGTTGTAGAAGATGTTGCACACGGACGGATCAGGGTGCGCGAAGAAACCGTTTCGTCTCGGACACTTCTTCGTCGGCTGTGGCGGTTCTGTCAACGGTACAAGCAGGTTGTAATCGATCGTGCAATTTTATACCGATAGATACCCTCTGATATCCGCACCGGGCATTCTTATCGTTCAAGAAATATTTCCCCGCGGAATAATACATTACGCTCGATACCGGCATCGGTATATCAGTATCTCTTACGTAATTCGAGACGATCGCCGCAGTCGACGTTGAAAACGTGGTCGCACTTGTTGACCTTGCGATTCAACGGATCGAACACGAGACCATCCGGACATAGCTTTTCTGACGCGATGCCGTCGATGCACTCGTGATACTTGTCGCATTGCTTATTGTCCTCGTATTGGCCGTCCTTGTTGGGACAGTTGAACGCGGCGTCTGCAATATTATAGAAAAATGAGCATTCTAAATGTATATGGAGGATATCTTCCCTGTAAGATTTAAAGAGCAAGATTTGCAATTGGCTGTCGTATATTTCCCACTTTGCGAATCTCGCAAGAAAGAAGCTTGAAAAATCGATTAAATATCGATTATCGTGATAACTGTGAGATGTTTGGAAATTTTGTTGTAAGTAAATTACATCGTGCTACATCGTCACTTACACACATCACAAACAACGAAGATACTGCGTGTACGTAAAAAATTTGTCCACTTTTACCGGACGGTGGACATGTGCGTGTTTGAGAACACGATCGTTCGGCCGGGAAATCGCAGGCGGAAATCGATCTGATCTGACGTTTCCGACAACGAGGTGACCGAACCTGTTCGACCTGTCCTATTCGTCGAATTCTTTCCGATCGGCATTATTTCGTCGTCGTCTTATGTAATTTTGTCTCGGCCGCATACTCGACCACACTTATGCAACCGGCCGAGCGAGAGAACTGACATTTACGCTTTAGAAAGTTCGTACTGTCTCCATCAAGAACTACCTGCGAACTTAACGCACATTTCTGCAAGATTTGCGTGTGTCGTTTAATCGATAAAAAAATAAAAGACCTTTGGAATCGTGTCACGCGAACGTTTGATCAGTTGCATCTGGAAACGAATTGACAGGTTTAGAATTCCGGAGAGAGTACGTCCTGTTCGAGGAAACGTCTCTCGTTAATTTCGCGACGAAATCATATGGGATATTTTACGGAGTGGAAGACAAGAATCGCGAATCACGTCCTTCTAAAAAATTGAAATTTGCGTATTTGAAAGTGTATATATTTATATTTATATTTTTTATTTATTTATAACAAAAAATATGTAACTGTAGTCTATAAAAGTTAAGTAGAGAATATACGGACGATGATTGAAATCATACTTAACGACCGATAATTCTCAACGTTAATTCCAGTCAGCGCGCAACCAATTTTTTCATTAACGATACGGGAATTATGTAACTTTCTAACTTTTATAATTTTGTGAAGCTTCTGCATCGAATTTTATCGCCGTATTTCAACAACCTTCAACAATCATTACTCACGTGTCAGCGCGATCACGGCCAGCAAGGTGACGACTCCTGGCGTAATCATGTTTCCGGTTCGCTTGCTCCTCTACCGGGTCGTCTACACGGGATGATCTTGGGTCACACTGGGATGAAGTTTCACTGATAGGCGAGACGGGAGAATTGGGCTATCTAATTTTTGGTGCCTCTTTGGAATGGCGTCGCCTTCGCGAAACTGCAGCTCTTCGGCTACTCGCCGGCTGGGTATACCCCGTGGATCCCCACTATGCTACGCAAATCCCACTTTCGCCGTTACTTTTCATCACGACGGACACCCACCGAGGATGAAGATCGAGTAACTGAGAGTGAGAGTGAGAGAGAGAGAGAGAGAGAGAGAGAGAGAGAGAGAGAGAGAGAGAGAGAGAGAGAGAGAGAGAGAGAGAGAGAGGTCCACACATTTACTCCTCTCTCTTTCTCTTTCTGTCATGGTACTCTCACCGTGACGTCCTTCGTTGCGTTTTTCTTCCTGGAGAAAAATGCAAATCGTGATACGATGACGGGTAAATGCCCGGAGATGGCATTAAGATGGACGAAAGAAACAATTTCGCCACTATTTCAATTAGACAATCGCGTTCCGCTCGTCTCTTGAATTTATCTCTCGAGAAACAAACGCGAGTGAATGAGAAAGAAAATTTGTATTGTCTTAATCTTAATGACAATTTTCTCGATCGATAGAAATAGAAGCTTCCTAGATTCGTGTGTTATATATACTTTGTGTATTGTATGTGTGTAGATGCGTGTGTATTATATACACACTTGCCTTGAAGGACGAGAACAAATTCTAAGAAAGTGTCAATATCCTGATATTGTAGTAATTGTTTACTTTCCACTCCTATTTAAATGGTCAAACTTCAAACGAAGAATAACTACATTACGCGTCGCTAGCTGCGGTTTATCAGGAAACGGCGGTAGCTTTTTGTTAGGCTTTCTTCGTTTAACGTGCCGCTTAACATTCACCTTCGCTCTCGCTTCAATTGTTTTCAAACAGTAGACTCTTGCGACCTTACCAAACTTAAAAGCATGTCATGTTCACAATCGTTGTGAATAAAAATCTGATAAAATATCGTGATCTGATGAAGTCCCCCCCCCCCCCCCGAAAGAATTTAATCTCTTAATCAATGTATGGTTCGCGTAATTTCTTTGCAGTCTTTCTCACATCTCATTTTCTCGTTATTATAAAAAAACTATCAAACATGAAATAACATTAATATTATTTAATTCAAATTGTTAATAAACAACAAAAAATAACATTAATCTTTTCTCTCAGTGAGCTCACGTGAACTTAGAGTAGAATTTAATGATTCATCGAATTGATGATAGTAATTGGATATATTAACCATGGCTCATGAGGGTTATTGATCTCTCGCGGATGAGGTACGTATCGCATCGTTGCGATGTGGTTTGCCGTCAAATCAATGGCAAGCTTTTTCATTGCGATGCACAACGATGTTCTTCCTGCACTGTCTCGTTCCTACTACAACTGTCTTCCGACGTTTTTCCACGGGAAAGTAAGACTTTTAATGGTTTTAACGGACACAGCGGCGTCTATCCGATTGAACCATTACCGCGGAAGTGGATCTCTTAAAATTCAGTTTTGCACTAATTATTCCGCGAGATACTTTTAAACGGAAAATCAAGTTTTTTGGACAGGACTTTACTTTGTATTTATTATTATATACTTGCGAAGTTTTAGTTTGCACGGGTTTCAACGAGACAATGCTTTCTTTGTGTTACTCGATGCTACGCTTACGTAAAATATTCTCCTTACACTCTTGGCACTTACGAAAGCATTACGTTAGAGACTATTGGATTTCGGAAACGTTTAATGCATAAAATACGTAGAACGTTGGCCGATATCGCACTTTCACTGCTCGCAAGAATTTAAAATGCGATCTACATTCATCACGGAAACGTTCCGCGTTTCCTCTCTAATGTCACCGTAATCTACGTAATAAGATGATTAATGCAATCGATCTTTCAATTCTACAAATTACTATTTGTAGAAAAATAAAGGAAACTTCAAACTTGATTAAATGAAAAATTATATATAGGAAAGAGAAAAGACACATATAAAATGCGAATTACAAAAGGATTGGTATATTACTCGTCGAATATTGTCCTTACGTCAAGATAACGATGAATTTTCTTATAAGGCTCTTCGAATAATCCTTTTTTGCTAAAGACTTACGATTTATCTTTTCCAAATTATTCAAAGCAGAAGTAATTTCTCGCTTTGTTTAAATTAATTGAAATTGAAGAATTATATCACAATTTTCTTCTTTTAACCAATTATTATCAAAGATAGGATTTATGTGCAAATGCAGTTTGAAGAGCCTGTTTGTAGTAAAGATAAATTTATTGTACAATGGAGCGATTTAAAAATAGAGAGAGAGAGAGAGAGAGAGAGAGAGAGAGAGAGCGTGTTTTAAAAACCTACAAAGCTAATCTAATTTAATCTAAGAACTCGTCCCTACGTCGGTCTGCTGCCTTTTCTTCTGCTGGATCCACCTGTAGGTTTGGGCCTTGGCGGTGGGTTCTCCAACGCGTCAAGTTCCTCGTCAGTTAGTTGACCCTTGTACCAGTCTTTGCTGTAATTAAATTATTCGCTTTAGATATATTTTCTGCTGAAACAAACTGATTCGAGAGATACAGATATTTTCAAATTAGATTTTTGTTATTCTTGAAATTTTCGAATTTTTGCCGAAGAAATTGATACAAAACAAAAGTGGGTAATGTGAAATTACGATTTTCAGATAGCGTAAACTTTTTGCGAAGCTTAATTTACTTCTTATTTCTACATTAGAATTCTCTGTTATTAGAATCGTCTGGTTTTGTTAACAATAACAAAATCTTCGATAATCTTCGAATTATCTTTCAAACGATAAATGAGAATTCGTAAGAGTTTGAGTCAATAAGTCACGAGCGTTAAAGAAAAAGCTCGTTTTCTCTCGCAAGTAGTCGGACTGTGCGACAATGTGCATACCATTCGGGTATTTTCCTGGCCCAGTCGCACTTGCCGGTGCGCTCGTCGAAAGCTTGGCCGAGCTTGCATCCACTTCGTCTGGGTATCTCGCCATTGACGCACACGTAGAAATATTGACAGTCTTCACTGTCAGGATAGCGTGGGTGCGTGGCCGCTACGGAATCGTCGACCTTAGGACACGTAAAGTTGAAAAGCTCGCGGGAACCGCAACCCTTCTTCTGCGCCTCGTCCGGCCAGTTGCAGATGCCGGTCTTCTCGGAGAAGACCAAGCCATCCGGGCATGTGATCATATTGAACTTGCCCTCCACACAGTAATAGAAAGTGTTGCAGTTTCTCGTGTCTTCGTGAGCAAAGTAGCCGTGCATGCGAGGACAATGTGGCGATGGTTGAGGTTTCTCTGTGCAAGGAATCGATTCGTTAGAGACAATTGGCCGGCCCCATTACATTATATATATATATACATATAATAACAACGGAATTTTATTCCTTTCATATTTGATACAACTGCAGAAAAATTTTGTCCCCTCTTTCTCTTTCAATGCAAGTTCAATGCAGAAAAGAGATGAGACGGATAGTTCCTTCTCGAAATAAACGGCGAGTGAGATCGTGCCAACTATGAAATTGCACGCTTACGTAGCTTGGGCCTCTTCGTGCAATCGATACCGAACGGCAGATCGCATTTCTCGTGCTGAGGGCTGAAGTCGTTGAAAACTAGACCGTCCGGACACAGTTTCTCTGTGATTTTGCTGTCACGGCAGTCGTAATACTTGTCGCATTGCTCCGCGTCCGGGAAATAACCATTCGGCTCTGGACATTGATCTAGGAGCTCGTCGTCTTCGTATTCTTCCTCCGCAGCTGCTGGTTGTTTCGGTGTTGTTGCCGAAGCGGCCTTACGACGACTCTGTTCGGCAGCTTCTTGCTTCCTCGTCAGAGCGGTGACGGTCCCTGTGATAAAAATATTAATCCCATTAAAGGATAGTAATTGTTAACATGATAATATGATAGCATAATGAGATAATGAGATAAAGTCAAATATTGAAACGAACATAACATATATATAAATAACACTGAAAACTTTATTTTCTAAAAGTGAACATTTCCATAATTATCATACGATTGATTCGCTCATGAATTGCATCGTCTCAGTTAATAAATTATTAATTACACGTCTATTTATTAAGTACAGGTATAAACTTGTACGAAATTCCGATTCTTTTCATTCCTCTGATGAATTTCGCGCGCCAAGCTTTAATCGCACCTTGATGTCCTTCAGACAGTCGGATCAGCGAGTGTTTCGTATGGGGCTGGTTGTTGAAAGGAGGAGGGAAACAAAGAGAAATTAAGAATAAAAAGACAGAGGGAAAAACGAGAGAACGGTGAATGTTAAGGCGGAGGGTCGACGAGTCTTGCGGCGTACGAGTTTTCAAGGCGGCACGTCGTCTGCGTCCCTGAAGAAACGCTGGTCGACCTCGCGAGCGAGCGAGCGAAGAAAGCGAGAAAGTGGTCGGTCCCCCCCCCCCTCACCCGCATGTACACCCGGTTAGCCTGAACTTAAATGTCGTTTAATCGGTTCGGCCTGGTAGCTTTCGAGCGCGCGCGCTGCAGTAGATTCAGCCTCGGCCGACGTTTTTAACCAGTCAAGTAGTAGCAGGCAGTTTTGAACGGACGCGCGTCTGCCCTCGAAAACTTCTCTTCCCTAATGGTACATCTTTTAATCTTTTTTCCTGGACCCACATATGTTGTAAAAGATGTAAAAAGTAATATTATTTTAGCGGTACTCCTGAAAGAGGCTAAAAAGTTGGTACTCTTTTCGAGCTACGTTTCACTTGATACAGTTTGTTCCCCCCGATATGTATGAAAATTATCGAATTTCTAAATGACTAATATATGAGACTAATATTTGTATTTTAATATGTTTTATAAATTGACGTAAAACATTATTATTAGACATTGACTATTTGAGTTCGCTTTGCTTCGAAGTTTCTCAAAGGTAGGAACGGACGAGGCAGGTAATTTTTTATTAGTATGTAGAATGAGACGCCGCACATATGGTGTTTAGCGAGGAACATCTTCAATACCAAGATTTATTATTCAGTCAAATTACTTGAAACAAAGTAAATAGTTGGTGCATCACGCGGCTGTTTACTGTTTCTTCCATGATACTTGACTTTGATACAACATATCAGCGATAAAGAACATGGTGCAAAATCGTTGGAAAACTCGGTTCGCTCACCTCCGCAGTCTCGACACCGCACTTTGAGCACCGATAAATCAATGACGAGAGCTCACCGAGACAAATCAGGAGACAAAACACCTCCGTCTTCATCCTGACGAAGAACGGACGGTCCTGATTGAAGGAAAGAAGGAGAAAGAGACTCTCAGTGACGTCACTTGCCGATGATCCCCAGTCGTGGTAACGTGATAGAATTGATGACTAGAGACTACTGGACCCGGTCGAGCGATCGCCGGGGTCTTATATGCGGCCCCCACTTTATCAGCCATACGAGCTGATTACAACACTTGGTGACCACGTAGGGTCTAAGGAGAACCGTTGATCTACGCATGCGAACGTACAATAGCGTCCACCGGTGTGTTGATTTTCCGGTATATGCAGGTTATTTTTTATGTAGTCTGAAATTGCATGTGTAACGTTACGTTTAAAGTATATAGAATGCATTCGTACGTATGTGTCTGTGCGTGAGTGCGAGTACGTGGTGCACACACAAATTTTATATATATATATATATTTTTTTTTTTTTCTTTACATATTACTTTTGTTAACGGTGTTGGGGTGTTATAAATTATGAAAAATTTCGATGGAAAACTCGCGTGGAATTTTCAAAATTAAATCGCACTTAACAATTTGAACAACTTCGAACGAAACATTCACGAGATGCAAAGATACCGGCGGAGAACGTGACACGCGAGAGCCGTCGATTATTCCGCGAAAATTAACATTTCCCGGCAACCTTCTCGTAGCGATTTACCTGCGAGATATTTTTAGGACACTAAAGTTCACCGTGCTTCGTGGAAACGACGTGAAATTCCAGTTTCGCCCCTCGGTGCATTCTCAGTTTCTCCTTTCTTCCCGTATCTTTGCATTCCCATACTGTCGCACGGGAATTTGAAGGCGGATGATCGAGGTAATTTACTTATAGAAAGGTGAAGAACTGTTCTCTCTCAGCGTGATCACGAGTAGTCACGACTGTGGAAAATGGAGAGCCGCGAAAGGTCGTTATTTGCGAAACTATTTTCTCCGCGAGTAATACGCAGCTGCGTGATGTAGAGCAAACTCGGATAAAATGGCCATACGAAGAAGATGATCATGAAGGCTGTCATTTCAATAACAATTGCTAAACAGTGCATTTTTTGTAGCTATTCGCTAAAATAATTGATATTCACAGCTTAAGCGTGTACACTCTTCGAAATAATAACATTGCGAATATTATATATCATGGCCATCTTATCCGAGTTTACTTTATCCTTCATCCTTCGAGCGAACGTAAAAATCAACCTTGCTCTCCATCTCTCGTATTCGTTTGTCGAGGATGGCAATCCTTTCCCTGCGACATTTCTCCTTCAACGGTATCTCAATGATAACTCATAATCACATTATTTCAGTCTTCGGTCTTCTCGCGCGGTTATTCTCCTAACTTTCGTCTCATCTAGTACAAAGTCTCTCTGTCCCACCAGCCAGCCGGATTACGTCTGATCCACCATTTCCTGGACTCTTCGTAGATCAGAATAAGAATAGCGTACGGTACTCCGGGCAGCCACAATTCCGGCTTCAGAGGATATGTCTTCAGGACACGATCCATGTGAGGAGTATAAGACACCAGGCAAGCCACACCGATTTCAAATAATAAACCCGTGTTCAAGACCCAGTTGCTCATGCCTTGACGCAACAGCGAATTTCGGCGAGTTTTGCAGACCATCGCGTCCGCCCACTGAGCGATGACTATGCTGACAAAGAAGGCGGTGTGGCAGGTGTACTCGAGGATCTTGCGCTGCTCGTATGTCCACTCCTGACCGAAGCTATCTTTCAGATCATTTATCGCCGCGCTGTCCCACTCTGACCTGAGACCTAGCAATCGTGCCGGCAGGAAGCCGTGTTCCGCCATCACGATAAAGTACGCAAAGAAACCTGCGCAGGCCTCGATCACACCGATCTGACCATACGCCATAAAGATCAGCCGTCGGCTGACCAAATGATCTCTCTGTGGTATCCTGGGCTTCCTGCGAAAAATCGAAAGACATCGCAGACTTTTTGGATAACTTAACTGTTTGTACCAGCTCTCACGATCTTGCGCTTTTTCTTTTTTTTTTTAGTCTTATTGAATATTTGAAAGAGCTTTAGATTTTTCTTTCTTAATTTTGCATCTTTCTCTTTCAGTTACAAGTTAACCTTGTACATTTATTCCTCACGTTATTATCGCGTATACTTTGACTGTCACTCTGATTTAGGCTGAATTAATAATTGTTGGAAAATTCCTCAATGAATTCATTGTACTTGGAAAAGGGATAGTGAAGAGATATACAATGTTATATATATATATATATATATAAGGATTATCTGACATCTCATGTGTACTCTCGCTACCTTAACATAACGTCCGACTCGGGCTTCTCGTAAGCCAACGAGACGGCCGGCCACATGTCCGTTCCCAGGTCGATGCACAGAACGCAGATCACGCCGACCGGAAGAGGTATTCCCAGCGCGACGAACGCCAAAAAAGGCGCGATTTCCGGCACGTTACTCGCTAAGATGTATGCGATGCTCGACTTGAGATTATCGAAGATCCGCCGGCCTTCCTCGATGCCCGTCACTATCGACGCGAAATTGTCATCGAGCAATATCATATCTGCCACTTGCTTGCTCACGTCAGACCCTAAGAATCGCGAGTAATTAGATAATAATAACAACTATCGTTTGCTAGAGTCGAAGAACTCGAAGCCGCGCGCGCGCGCGCGGTTCTCCTCTAAAAACATTTCTTTAGGCCATCTGCTGACCTGTAACGCCCATGGCGATGCCAATGTCAGCTCTTTTCAAGGCCGGCGAGTCATTGACACCATCGCCGGTGACGGCGGTGATGAGGTGCAATCGTTGGCAGCTCTCGACGATTTGCAGCTTCTGCACCGGTGAGGTCCTAGCGAACACGACTTCTTGGTACCGCTTAATCAGCCTGTCCAACTGCTCAGGCGACAGATCCCGTAACTGGTTGCCCGTCACCACAATGTGGTGTCTCCCGATACCGTCGTTATGATCATCGTCGCTGATGATGCCGACATATTTGCCGATCGCTCTAGCGGTGTCCGGGTGGTCGCCAGTTACCATAATGATCTTGATGCCAGCGCAGCGGCATTTGTACACTGCGTCTGGCACTGTCGGTCGTGGCGGGTCCATCATGGCGATCAGGCCGACCTACCGACGAGAAAAATTGAACCGATCGAGCATCGAGCGGCGAAGAATCTCCGGATCTGAAGAAATCTGAAGAAAGGAGTCACGTTCGCGATTTGAAAAATATCCATGAAAAGTACCAGCCTCGAGTTTTCAAGAGGGAAATTCGGGGGATCTGCCTCGAAGCGGTAACCCACGGGGTAAATCGAGGTGGAGAGTTCGAGGTCGGCGAAGCCGAGGACGCGTTCTCCGTTGTTCGCCAGAATATGACAAGACTCGGTGTATGCAGCCTTTATCTCTTCGTTCAGCTCCTCGGTCCGGTTGCCGGACGCCACCACAGTGGAGCAACGCTCGAGAACTCGCTCGGGAGCACCCTTGAAGCACACGAGGTACCTGCCTTCAAACAGGTGCACGTTTGCTTGAAACTTATCCGTCGAGTTGAAGGGGATCTCGAGTGCCTAAAGATCCATTTCGGGGGGGCTGAAATTTCAGACTGAAATTTATACGACAGGATTTATCGCATTGAATCGCGAGAAAGGTCGAACACGTTCGGTCGTGTCCGAAATCGCGTCCTCTCCGGCAAGCGGCAAAGACTCGACTCGACTCGGCCCGGCCCGGCTGGTTTACCTTGACGTAGTCCTTTCTGAAAAAATCGGCTCCTCCCTTCACCAGGATCTCCATGCATCTCAGCAAAGCGCTGTCCGACGCGTCTCCCAATACCTCCCTTTTTCTCAACGGTAACGCGGGTTTGTCTTCTGGAACCGGCGCCCATTTGGCGCGATTGCACAGACTTGCCACTCTGGCCAGGTTCTCGAAGCCCCGACTGTTGCTGTACTTCCTCCATGTGTCCGAGGCCATGACTTCGCGCAACTGGCCCGCGTCGTACCATATGTGTCGCACCTGTAACTCGCGCGAGAAACTCTAGGCAGAAACGCTACGTCCGTAGCGAGGGCCGGCAAGTGAACGTTACCGAGGCTGGAGATGTCGAAATTGGAAATGGGAGAGACGCGGAAGGACATTACGTTGTTGTTGTCGATCTTCGCTCGTCGCAAAGCGGCGGAAGATCGCGCGATCTCGCGAGACGATCGTGAATTCGCTCGTTTGTTTAACGCGAATTCAAATATCCTCAAATTTCCGCGGATTCGTCGCGGCTAAAATACGAGAATAGGAGAAGTGCAAGACGCGTAGACTGCAAGATGAAAGATCGCTCGCGTACGGTCATCTTGTCATTCTGCGTGAGAGTGCCGGTTTTATCGCTGCAGATAACGGCGGTACATCCGAGCGTCTCAATGGCCTCGAGATTCTTCACCAGACAGTTCTTGCTGGCCATCCTCTTGGCGGTCAGGGTCAAGCTGACTGTCACCGTGGCGAAGATGCCCTCCGGCACGTTCGCCACGATGATACCGATGAGAAACATGACCGAGTCGATCCAGTTGTAATTCATCGCGATGGACATGACGAGGAAGAGAACGCCCAGGAAAATCGCCCAGCACGAGATCAGTTTCATGAAGCGACGGATCTCGCGGGAAAGTGGCGTGGGTCGTAACGAGAGTCTCGAAGTTAGCTTGGCTACTCTGCCCATCACCGTATCGTCGCCACGGGCCACCACGACGCCTTTCCCGGTGCCTGTTTCGGTGAAGGTCCTATCTAATTCGACGATAACGAAGAATCCCACTTACGATCTTACGACGCGCGTCGTGCGGTAAGATGGCCATAGGCTGGTAATTCTCCGATCCTCCGATCCGATATTTGCCAAACAGTGCGTTTTCTCAAAGATAATTGATGTTTATAGTGCAGTTTATGTGCATAAACTATTCGAAATAACAATATGATCATTATATCATGGCCATCTTACCGAGCCGAGTAAGACCCAATCAAACGTTCGAGGAGAGAGATTCTCTCTCTCTCTCTCTCTCTGTCATACTAAATTATGGATAAATGATATATTCCATCGCGGGATTTTCATTCTCTTTTAAAGTGGAATATTCTCGATGACTCACCTTCGATGATGTTCGTAGAGAAAAACACCATGTTCTTCGCCTCGATGACACTCCCAGTTTGCGGAATATTCGCCGTTCGTATTAGCGGTATCGATGATTCGCCCGTGAAGGACGCATTGTCCACCTTCAAGCCTTTGTTAAAGAGATTATGTCATTTTTTTAAGTGAAACGCGCTGTATGCGTTTCAACATCTTGCAATTTAGAAATACAAGGTATCTTGCGGATTTGTATTCTAAACTTCAAATTTGGATCATATATCAAATATCTATTCTCTTTTTCTTGAGTCATCCTTTTTTCTTTACAGGAGGATGGTCTTCCCCCCGTCAACTTTCTTTCGCTGGAGGATCGAGCGAAGCGAAAAATCGACGCGGTCCTCGATCGAGTTGTGAGAGAAAGGCTCGTATTCTCGAGGGGGGAAAACAAGAGGTACGAACGCGAGACGAGAGATGGTGGCATCGCACGCCTCACCTTGACATTCCAGGATCCTAATGTCAGCAGACACCCGGTCGCCGGTTTCCAGCAGGACGATGTCCCCGACGACCAATTCGGTCACCAGAAGCTCCTTTCTCTCGCCGTCCCTCAGGACCTTGGCTCGCTGCGGTAGCATCCGCTGGAAAGATTCCATGATGCGCGAGCTCTTGGAATCCTGATAATAGCTGAACGTGCCCGTGACCAGGATCAGGACGATTAGGACCAGCCCGAGCCAAAGACCGTCCTCGGATGCCTCGCCGTAAGTTTCTCGCTCCAGGAAGTAATTGCCGAAGCACAAAACAGCGCCTATCTAACGATTATGTTTGTTTTTATTCCCTTTTTCTCCTATTTCTTGCACAAGTTGCAAAATAGATATTGTTCTTTTTTTCTTTTATGGCACTCTTCGTGCCATAAGATAGATATATATATATATAGAAAGGATTCCATCTGTCGCGAATTGCTACCCATGTCAGCAAAGAGAACTCATTGTAGCAATGATGCAGGATTTTTAGAATTTCTAAAGTTTTCCTCGGCGGAGTCAGCGCGTTCGGCCCTTGTTCTCGCAGGCGATCTCTCGCGACGCTTGTCGATAGACCCTGCTCGAGATCCACCTGCAGATCCTGCAGTAGATCTACCGCGGGTTTAAGGTGCACATCCGTGTCAATATCTCGACGAAGAGCGTCTAGGTCGCGGTTGAGTCGTTGTGGTCTTCGAGAGAATCGCCGCATCTCTCAATCGACAGATGTGAAATCACGCGGTGTGGCAAGCTCTCTCGAGGTGTACCGGGAAGACGAAAAAATGTACCCGAAGACGAAGATGTAAAAATTAGTTGACCAAAATCAAAATACACATCTTAAAAGAATAAAACGTCACAAGACGGAACAAGCGTATGAAGTTGAGTCGCGCAGCAAGCGATAATCGAGATTCGTTTCTCGCTGTTCTTTTTCAAGATTGATTATAATTTTTCAAAATAGAGGGAATGGGAGACATACATTTTCCCCTCTCTCTCTCTTTCTCTTTCTCTTTCTCGTTGGATGTTTGGTTGCACCAAGATCCGCGCAATTAGATTACCGTGTCTAATTTTATTCGGTGCCGGGGAAGGTCGAATTCTTTTTCAAGCTTTCAACAACGGAGGACAAGTGCGCCATCTCTTCCTTTACAAGTTCGTCCGTGACGTCGCCACGCATCGTCCGACGGTAACGACGTCGTTTGCTTTATCGGCAGCGCGGCGCAGATGTGCCATCTACGCACTTAGGCGCCACTGTGCAAAGACCCGAGAGGCCGAGAAGACGCGAAAAGATTAGGCAACCGCGCGCGCGGCCAGCGTGTTCCGACGTTCCGCCATTACAGCGCTGTGTCGGCGTGCATACGGTGCGGCATAAGGAAGAGGGTGAATACCGCGACGTTTACCGACGCTCGGCGTCATCGTCGTCACCGAGCAAGCAAGCGAGTGAGCGAGCGAGCGGGCGAGCGAACCGAGCAACGTAACAAATCGTCCGCGAACGGTACGCGACTGGCGGAGTTGATCGCGCGTTAAAGTTTTTTCGCAGTTCGGCTTGATTGCGCGCGTCCGCGGGCGAAAGCGTAAAAGAAGAGTTAACGGTGCGAGCGGGGAGGTGAGGAGGAGGAGGAGGAGGAGGTGAGCGGAACGAAGCGGAGAGGAGAGGAGAGGAAGAGAGCTGTGCCACAGAGAGCAACACACGCGTACAGAACGCCGGCGGATATGGAGAATAGGCCGGCACCGCTGCGCTCGCGGCGGGTATGCCGATTCTGCTTGACGGAGTCGGAACCGCTCAACTACATCTACGAGCGCGACCACAGCAAACCCTTCCAAGTGCCACTCGCGTTGCAAATCATGTCGTGCGTCGCCATCGAGGTAAGTGAGTGAAGGCTCTCGCCGCTTGGCGACGCGATACCTTCGCCCCGCGCAAACTGTCGGGCATTGACTACCGCGAAGCGGTACCTTGTGCTATAGTATCGTTTCGCGCAATAAATATCGAGCTTTGATCAGGGGGAAGCGTTTGAGGGAGCGGTAGGAAGAACTCGCACAGACAATATTCCCCAGTTGGGGAGTGATTGCGTTTCAATAGATGTTTGTCGCGTCGATAACGTAGGCGTCGAGATTATCGAGCTGATCGCGACTAGCGTCGCGACGCGAACGTGTACGTGGAGAGGACGCAATGTTCTTGATATGAATTCCATTTCGTTTCTCCTTGAATAAACGCGCTTTAAATGAAAGTCGAATATTTGTCCGATTTGTTAAATATTGTAATGGATAAAATTTCTACACGTATTTTATTAATCTCTCTGACGAATTAGTTTAGCTCTTGTCGATTTTAAGCTATTTGATACAAACACCTTCCTCTATCCTTTCCTCTCTACTCTATCCTATTTTGTATTTCTTAGGAAATTGAATAAAATAATTATATATATGCAGTATATGCAGTTTGTAATAAAACATTGTGTATTATCGCAGTATGAAATATAACATACATGTTATTCATCGCAATCTCTTTATCATCGAATGTTTTGTGAATTAGATTTCTCTGAAAATAGTTTTGCTCTGATATCATTTACATTCACGATGAAGATCATCTTATTTATAGTCGCAATGAAAAAAATTTTGTCAAATATATATATATATATATATATATATAAAATCTGTTTCTCATCTAACTGGTACTTTAGAAGCGTACAGCAAGGGATTAATAATTACAAACTTAACAAGAGAGAAAATCTTCACCTAGATCCTAAGTTTCCAACAACAATTTCATAATTTCTGCAGAAGATCCTCTTCCTGGACTGTCAAGAGAAGTAAGGGTATCACTAATGTTCCGTCTCAACTTGTTTGTTGATCCTCAAGGTATACGCAGCTGATGGGATGCCACAAATGATTTGCAGCACATGTCGCTGGAACGTGGACCGCTCATACAAGTTTAAACTGCAATGCAAAAAGGCTGACGAGGCGTTAAGAGACTATCCATTGTCTGGGGTGCTACCTAGACCATTCCCACCTATTCCAAACGATCCACCGGAAGGAAGCCACAAGAGATCCGCTGAGAGCAGACAGCAAAACGAGGGTTCCAAGAAACCGCGCACTGATAATTCCGAAAGAGAAAGACGCGTAACTAGAGAGAGGGAACGAGAGAGGGAGCGCGAGCGGGAAAGAGAGAGAGAACGACAAGGCGAGAAGCAGAGGGAAAAGTCTTCGAGTGATTTCTATGAAGAAGAGCAGGACGGTGGCAGCGATGGCGAGCAACAGACCAAGAGCATCGAACGTATGAAGGACGATAATAATATAACCCTGGAACCAGGCGAGATCAGAGTACACGCGTGTGACCAATGCGAACGGACGTTCCCGCTGCGCCAAGCTCTTTCGTTGCACATTCAGACTGCACATCGCGACCGCAATTTCAAATGCACAGAATGCGAGCGCATGTTCTTCTCTAAGTACGATCTCAACAAGCACATGAGCACTCATTCGGACGAGAAGCCATTCTCGTGCCAGATCTGCCAGAAGCAGTTCTCCCGGCAAAATCTGCTGCAGCGTCACGAAAAAGTGCACCGGGAGGAAGCTCGTTACGGATGTCAACATTGCGATCGTGAATTCTTCACTACAGAGGATCTGGAGAAACATGAGGACGCGGTGCACAAGAAAGAGAAACCGTTCCAATGCAATATTTGCAACAAACGTTTCCAGTACAAGCAGGGCTTAGAACGTCACGAGACCTTGCACAACGAGGACAAAACGTTCGTATGCGACTATTGCAAGGAGGCGTTTCACACTAGCACCAAGCTGGCTCGTCATCTCACGAGTCACGCCGGTCATCGACCCTACATGTGCAAGCTCTGTCCCAGGACGTTCTTATTGTCACATCATCTGACGCGACATATGCGTACACACTCAGTGGAGAAGCGGCATGTATGCGAGGACTGCGGCAAAGCCTTCAAGCGTAAGGAGAGTCTCGAAGTGCATCAGCTGACTCATACGAAACGCACCGGGATGGGCCTCACGTGTGATGTTTGCCAAGAGTCTTGTCGCAACCGTGCCGACTATGTCACCCATATCAAGCAACACATTGAGGCAGGCGAGAAAATGGGACCAGACGGCCTGCAGCCGGATAACAAGCCCAAAGTGGAGGTGGACTCGGAAGACGAAGATGAAGAGGAAGATCAATACTCGGACGACGACTATGAGCCGCCCGCTTACATTATAAAGAAAATGCCGAAGTCGATGCCGCGACCGTCTGAGAGCGACGAGGAGGAGGTGGAAGAAGAGGAGCAGGACCGCAGCAAAGAGCAGGTAGTGTTTGTGCGCAGCAAGGACGGCAACATGGTGAAGAAGACGATCAAGACGCTGATGCCGATCCAACGTCGCGAGGTGCAGGAACAAAAATCCGTCGGCAAGCAGAGCTCCAACAGCGGCTCGTCCAGCGTCTCTCAGAGCTCTACGAAGCAGACCACCTCGTCGTCACAGAGCAAAGAAGACAGCCCCAAGAATGTTGTACGCATGGACGAGACTGAGGCGCAAGTGCAGAAGATCGTCGCGTCTGTGTTTAAAGAGCACAAGATACCGTTGAAGCACCAAAACGCTGGCGCGCAGGAACAGTCTAACAAGGAGGCCGCGGCGAGCTCACAGAGCGCCACCACATCGCAAGAAACTCGCAAGGCAGACGATAAGACCGACGTCCCGGCAGAGACATTAGGCTCGGTGACGGCGACCTCTACGCCGAAGACTAACACGGTGAAAGTCATCAAGAGGTTCGTACTGAGGAAACCGAGTGGAAATACCGAAGGAACGCCTGCGAACGCGAGTACGCAGGACGCCATCATGAGTAATCTCAGCAGCAGCGCTAGCACTCCCAGCAGCACCGGGACTAAAGTCAACAGACGCTTGATAGTACGCCGAATCATTCGCCACGGTGACACTACTCGCGAGGTCATTATGAATCCGGACGGCACCGCCGTCGATCCAGCTGAATTAGCAAAATTGCCAACCGGGAACGTGGTAAAGCGAGTGGTGGTGAAGGCCAAGGGTCAAAACTTGGTGCAGGCTTTGCTGCAGCGAGTGGAACATCATCAGAAGCCCGGCGAGGCTATCGTGGACGATGCGACGGCAACGAAGTTTGAACTGAAGACCAGCTCGTCGAACAGTAGTAGCGGCGGTACTGCTTCTACCGCGACCACATCTAAGAGCACGGTCGTCGGGTCGCAGAAAGCAGCGAGCCAACAACAGTCAGGCACGCAAGAAGATCAGGAGACCAAGGAGAAGCTCGAACAGTTGGAAAAGCGGGTGGAGCAGCAGAGGCTGAAAATTGAGGAATTGCAAGCGAGAAAACAGGAATACGAAGCGATCGATGAGATGCTACCAGAGCGGCACGATGAGTCCGAAGACGAGCAACAGTTGCCGCTGAAGAGGGTGTTCGTCAAACGGAAGCAAAGCATTTACGACGAGGAGCAAGAATATAACGACAATGATATTGAAATTACCGGCATCACCACCACCACCGCCACTATCGCCGCTACCACCACTACCACCTCGAATCCGAGCAAGAACAACAGTGAGCAAGCAGCCGCCAAGGAGGAGGTCTACAAGGTCTCCAGCGTGGAGGAAACGCCGGAGAATATTCAGAAGGAGATACAGAACCAGCAAAAAACGATAAAGACGCCCGATGTTGTTGTCAGTTCCATCAGCAGTGCAGTCACACCGACCCCGACGAAGAAAGGTCCAACCATCTCCAGCGAAAAAGTCTATACAAACAGACGCTTTCTGATCATGAAACCCGACCAGACGTCCGAGGTAGAGGAAATGAGCCGTGAGTTGTGCAGCATCTTGGAGACCACCGACAACGTGGTAAAGATGCAAGAAACGGTACTGAGCAACCTCTCGCAAATCTCTGGCACGGTGTCGTCGGACACGACGCTGAAGGCGAAACGGCGACAAGGCGACAAGCCTACGGATGCGACCGCGCAGGTCGCCGAGGAAGAAACGGAGGATTCCTGCGATATCTCAGAAACTGTCAAGGAAGAGACCGCGATGGAGGTGGAGGTGGAAGTCGCGAGCCAGGAGACTGACAAGTTGGATCCTTCCGAGAAAGTAGCAGAAGAGGAGGATACACAGGAGGAGGAGGAGGAGCCCGGCGCGTCTCCCCATTTGGTCCTCGACCAAGACCAAGATCTCTCCGAGACTGCTGACATTTTTGAAACATCGGACGACGTGCTGGACGTGCGGAAGTCGAGCACTCTCAACGAGTCTGTGATCGAGCTGTCGCAGACCAATGAGACCATCAGTCTCAACGACACAAACGACAGTCAGGATAGTCTAGAGGATAAGCTCTCACAAATGGAAGGTTAAATCGTCGTAAAGGCTCGTCCCCGGAAGAGATGCTGCTCCAAAGAAAAATCGTGACCGCTCCTCCTCCCCAAGACACAGACAGAAGGAGAGAGAGGTCGTAACGCGCGCGCGACGCATTGATTCTCTCAGTCTTTCACGAGCGTACGAAGCAACGGAATCAATTGGTTACCTGTATAAAAATGAGAAGGGTTTTCGAACGAATAAGAGAATACAATCGAGAGGTGTTAACGTGCTTGCAATAGAGGAAAGGAACCGCATGTTATATGAGCTCTCTCTTTTTTTTTTTTCGCACAGTTTTCGAGGATTCTCGCGTGAGATTGATCATTATCTTTGGTACTCGGAATGTCGCTTAATGTCGTGCATGATAATATACAATATCGATGTGACGATCATGTAATGACCGACGACTAAGACATACGGTTAGTATAAAAGCCTGTTCGGACTACAGCTCCGTCGCTAGTTACGATCAGGACTTTGTACTGCGATTAAGTAACTGCTTGAGTAATATTGATTACGCATTTTTTTCCAATGGAAGAGAATTTTATTTAGCATTTTGGAAAAACTATTCGGAATCAATCCATCTTGACTCTCGTGTAATCCGAGTTTGCTTGAACTACATATTATTATTATCTAATATGGAGATACTACATTATATATCGTTATTAAAACATATATTATTATTAAATAATTATATATTAGGGCCATACATATATTACACATATTCTGTGTATGCAGCACATGCCTCACACACACATATACATACACATACAACACACACACACACACACACACATCTATTGAGTTATTATTCATTTGAGTTAATCATATGATTATACGATTTTATGATGATTATAATATGATCATCGTACTACGATGTGCGAAACCATTAGAAATTATTCAAATACGATTTTATGAGACAAGGCAGTCGAGAACTACTATTTTTTATAATCAACTTTAGGTTCGTCTCTGACCATCTCGTAACTCTTTAACTTTTAACTTGGCCGAGCAACTGTTTTTTTCTAAAAAAAAAAAAAAAGAAGAAAAGAAAGAAAAAGAAAAGAAAAAATATTACTGACACTTTTACTTTGTAGAATTAACGTTGAATCGAGGGTTAATGACGACGGGAACTCATCGATTGTTAACTCTCTCTCTCAGACATACACACGTGGTCCAAATGCTTTCCTCGCCAGTATTAGAATTTCGTTTCGACAGAGCTCGACCGACATTCAGAATACTATTGCTAATTCCCAGTCGCGCGAGGATCTTGGCGATGGACGCAGATTGAATAACGCAGATTCGTATTGGTATCATTTTAACAGTAATCGAGCGAGACACGATCTCTTACGGGAAAGGATCTTTCCGTATTTCTCCGATGAATTTATATATTTTTCGTTCCTTACGATCAAGTCACTTCGATCGTTCCGGAGCTCGGCGATCGCGAATAAAAAGTAATATATCTTGTTATCTCATTCGAATTTTGTCAAAATTTTTCATGCATATTTTCAAAATTCTTCTCTCCGTGTGAAAGGAATGAAACGCACTGACAGTCCACTCGAATGAGTCTCCACTCGAATGATTTGTTTATCCTTTTTCCAAAAAATAACGATGATCGAGTCAGGATAAAATCGCGAAATTCGTAAATATTATGCTGATGATTAGCAAGCATGACGACGTAATTCTCGTATCTAACGTCATTAACACATTTAACATACGTTATTTGATGTCATTAATACGTCGTCGTGTTGTGCTAGGTGTAAGTATTGTGTGTGACTGTGGATGATGTTTATGTGTTCATCTTCGCTTTCCGAAGCGATGCAACTCGACTATGATTGTATGAAAAAAATTATCATATTATTACATATTAACGATACAATAAGAGAATTTACTCGATCGGCTTCATTTTTTTCGGACTGTAGATCAACGCGTTTGGATAAAAGTTTGATAAGAGGAGTTTCCTTCCTTTCCTTTTGGTTAGGTAAATATGATATACACTAGGTATTGATAATTGTAAACATTCTCTTCCTACAATTTGCTGTTTTTTTCGCTGTTGGTGCAACAAACCCTAATTCAACAAGTCGTACACTCAAAACATCGGGAACACAACAGACAATGAGATATATTAAATCTATAGAATTGTGCGTTTACAATAATTAATCTCCAGAATTATTTCATTAATTTACTTATGGATATGGTAAGGTAGATTATATTGCAGATATTTGAAGCTATATATGAAATATACCAAGTACGGTGTGTAAGCGTAGACTAGCAGCCTTTTAGCGGTGTCTTTTATTGTCTCTCGCCTTTCCTATCAGTCCTTTCTCGTAAAATAAATATTTGAATAAATAATAAGTAAAGTGATAATAACAGGAATATTTTAGTTTCTAAAGTTTCTTTCACGTATGATTACCACCCAAGCAGCGCAAAACATTGAGCCAATGTTAATTTGTGCTGTCCGGGTAAATATAGTTACATAAGGATAATTATATCCTATAGAGCATAATTTTCTTTTTTTAGAAAGAAGTTATTTGTAAATTACTCATCTAATTTAAGTAATTACGCACTCAAGTAACTCAAGGTTAATTTAAAGATAAAATTTGATGTAATTCATTAAGCGTAATTACTTTACGAAAGAGTGAGTGATAATAATCGGAAGAATTCGTATAAAAACTTAGACTTTATTTCATACAACACATCGTATGTGCATAACTTGCGCTTATGATAATATATATATATATGTATATATGTATTCTGCTGTTATATTATTACACAAATATGTTTTTATGCAGTACTACTTGTGCGCTACTTCCATTTATGGGAGAAATGCATATTGCTGCGAGCATTAATGAAATATGCAGATGGATTAAAGATTACGTGAAAGTTAGTCGCGTATTTTCGCAGCGTCTTTCCAATCGAATATTAATGAATAAATTCACAAATTATTTCTCGCGCATGCCTGTGTTTCTTAAAGGTACAGAGAGAAATAAATGAAATGAACACAAGGGAAGGACACGAAAGGATCCTATGTCGATTGAGTTAAACGCATCTGCGCGCACACGGCGGTAATGAATATTTAATTATATTTAAGTATTATCGCGTATCAAAACACGTAAAACTGCATGTGCAACATGATGTTTAGTGAAGCGAATTGTTATTGATCGCGGTGGGACTTTGGGCCCGAGTGTTCGATCGAGCGATCACGTAATTACAAAGGCGCATCGCGGCAGCTCCGTGCAGCTGCAGTATCGACTGCACGTGTCGGCCCACGTGGCACGAGATGTCGGCACCGTGTAGTATTACAATAGCGCAAAACGAATCTCTCTTTGGCTTTCTCTCTGTTTGTCGGTATCGCTCGTCCTCGATTTCGTCGTCGTCAACAATCGATACGGAGCGATCGACGGAGAGAGCATCTCGCAATTGGATTTTAAATAATCACCAATTTTTTGCGCGCAATGAAACAAGTGTCTTCGCGGGTGAGTGATCGGGCTGTTGACACGTCTGAACAATTCGTTAAACAGCGATAAAAATGGAAAACCGGCATCGTTACGGTTAGCACGTCTCATTAATAAAGAAGATTTTATTTCTATGCAGTTCCACGAACTTTTAGCTTTTGTCACAGAAGCGCCTGGAAGTGCTTTCTTTCCTCGTAATAAAAGCACCTCGAGTAACTCTCATCGCGTTATCGATAAGATATTTTGGCGAGCTGGCTGGTAGGTAGTTAAAATCGGCGTTTAGCGGGCGTCAAGCGGGATTGACGTTTTTCCTGCTGCTAAGATTCTGGAGCTGTAAAACAACGACGATTCGTTGGCTTATTTTCTTTTTCATTTTTTTTTATTTAGAGACGGTATATCTTTTTTGTACGGGCGAATCGCTAGATCGCACTCTTGTATGTCTCGGCACCTTCGTATCTTAAAGTCCGCCACGTCCGCTGTCAATGTACTCGAACCTCTGTGGGACAGAGACGATCGTCGACTTAGAATCGGAATTTTTCTATCCCGAAACAGAGAGAGAGAGAGAGAGAGAGAGAGAGAGAAAGAGAGAGAGGTTCGCTCCCTTGAAAGATGGGAATACTTCTGCATCATATTTCACCATTGTCATACATGACAAGTATGCATGCGTTCGTTTGTTAATTAAGTTGCTCTGCCCCATAGGGATTAAATTAAGTATACGTGCTTCTTCCGCAGCGACAGAGTTCCTTATGCCAATAAGATATGTACATTCGCGAAGCAGTGTGCTCGCTTAATTTCCTCGCGTAGATATATTAATATTGCGCGAGCCTCAGTAGAGCGGTTCGCAAGCGGATTAAGTATTTGTTAATCGTAGGAAGATGCCACAGACTTACATGGTAAATGCGTGTAAAAATTATATTTCCGCGTTATTCTCTTTCAGACACGAAAACGAACTTGGCTTGAAATCGCAAACGAACACGCTTGAATTAACCCTCATCCGAATAGAAGAATTTATGAGGTTGTTGTGTTTCTTTTCTTATTAAAGATCAAATGTAATGGAAAATGAATAATAGAATCGATTTCAAGTCTTCGGCGGAGAGGTAATTTTAGGCTCGTGTCCGAGAGTTTCCAAGAGTTCACATTCTTGTGCTGTAATATACCTCCTTCTCGTCGGTGGCGACGGAGGCGTAGGTCCTGGCGGGCACTTCCGGCTCCTTGGCGGGTCCGATCGCGTGCACGTAGAGCAGCGCGCCAGCGATGCCGCCCAAGATCGGGCCTACCCAGTAGAGCCAGTGGTCTTTGAAAGCGCCCATCACCACGGCGCTGCCCAATGAACGCGCCGGGTTCATTCCGGCGCCCGTTCGCGGCACCTAATTTTTACAGATGGCGATAATTGCGAGGAGAAGCGAAAGTAAAAGGAGAAAGGAGACATCCACGGGAAGATTTCCAAACGCGCTGACGATTGTCGATGTACTGCGATACTCACGCCGACAATGTGGCCGACGGTGACCGCGAGGCCGATTATAAGAGGCGCGACGCCCTTGCTGTCCGGCTTAGCGCCGTCGCACGCGCCGCAAACAACCAGCACCAGGATCAGGGCGAGGAAGAACTCCACGCCGAATCCTTGGACAGCGCTGACCCCGGGGGAGAGGCTCACAACCCCTAAGGCGTCCTCCATCCCGTCCGATGAGAGTGCCCTCAGAATTGCTGATCCCGCTATGGCACCCGCACATTGCGCCAAGACGTAGAGGATGCCTCTGATCACCGGCACCTGCACCGTCATTGATTTGATTGATTGATAACAGCGTCGATACTTGCGTTCCGGGAGGGAGGAGTATATGCGTGAGTTTCATTTGTGAAATAATGAAATCACGATTCTCGGCTTACACTCGCGTATGTACGCGAGCAAATTCTCGAAGCAATACGAACTTCTCGGCCAATTCCTCTTACAGAAGCAGCTAATTCTTGAATTCCGTACTAATACTCTTCTGCACTGTTTCAGGACTTGGACTGTACCTTCCCGACGACGAGGAGGCCGAATGTGACCGCTGGATTCACATGACCCCCAGATACGTGACCTATTCCTTGAATCGCTGCCATCACCGTCAAACCAAAGGCCAGACTGATGGCGACGACGTTTCCAGTCACTACAGCGCCGCAGCCGAAAAAGTTCAGCAGCAGAGTGCCGAAGAATTCTGCCAGGAGGGCGCGAGGAAGGCCGGCCTTCTTGTCGGTGAGTTCGTCAGCGCCCAAGGCGCTCTTTAGATTCACCATCTGCGAAGAGTTAGGTAAAGATAAGCGGAAAGCAACAAAAAGATACGAGGTAAATGGTAACTCTTGTTACGACCGACTGACAAAGTGACGAGGACTAGTAATATCTTATTATATAGATATCAAACAGAACGATTAAATGTGTGTGAGGGAGGGAGGGAGGGAGGGAGAGAGACGAAGAAAGGTATGAAGCTCATATCACACGCTAAGGTGTTTATCAGCAGCGAGATTATATACAGATCTTGCAATTGCGATATGCAATTGTGAACTACGAAAGCTTAGATTAGAGAGTGAAGATAACTCTTTCGTTTTCATCCGGTAGATTGAAGATTCGGAGAAGCAGGGGTCATGGTGGAGAGGATTGAATTTATTTCATGGAAATCCCGAGTTGATCCCGTATTTGCTTCCGTCGAATCGCAACGTTTCTCTTTTGCGAGATGCGACATCGCGAACGAGACGGCGTTTAGCGGTTCCGTCGATCCCGCGATATGTATCTAGATCGAGGACGCGCGTTTACGAGTCCGCGACCGCGACGAAAGCTTCAGCACACGCATAGCGCATCTGGCAGGTTGTATTACGTATGCAGATCGTCACATCCTCGTGCCGCGATCGACTCGAATTACCTAATCGCGCTAAAGCTCTCGCTGAGCTCGTCACCCACGCGCTTTAATTAAGATCGATGAAGATTTCCTTTTGCGACTCGAGCGCGTCGAGACGAGAAGCTCGTTAAGGTCCGTTTAATCAGTTTTGTTATTGTTCCATTAATTAGTTTGTTTTCGACGACTATTCCGTCGAATTCAGACGGTAAGTCGCTGTCAGACGTGTGCTGACCACTGATGCTTATCCATGTACAATAGGAAAATCATTCATCTTGTATTTTTTATTTTCCTCGTGTTGAGATTAACTTTTTACCTCTCTTTCTCTCCTTCTCTCCTTCCATTTATCACTCTTTATTCGACTTCGTCTGCGATCTTCTCCTCCTTCCGAAAATATCTTAAAGTAGGAAAAAATTTTACACATCAACCATTCTGTCTTCCAAAAAAGTCGTTCAGCTGGCTGATTATGCAATTATAAGCGTCATTACTAAACTCGTAAAGCGAGATGATCCGATCCTAAGATGATGTCACAGCCCGAGATTGTTCCTCCTTCGCGTCCTCCGCCGCGAGTCCGTCATAAAACTATTTGTCGCTTGCTCGCTTGCCACTGCCGATCTGCTAAATCGCGTTGCGAAATGGCAGAGAGAGAGAGAGAGAGAGAGAGAGAGAGAGAGAGAAAGAGAGAGGAACCGGGCTCGTTTCGTTGACGCCTTTATGCGACGCGTTTATTCGACTTTCTTGTTTTCTCAGCCGCGATTCTCGTGCAGGTCCGCAAAACAAGAGGAGATTTCAGGCGGCAGATTCGTGTTGGATTCAAATGTAGAACGAAATTTTTCCATCCCAATTCTTTTTCTATTTTTTTTTTTTTTTATACGACTTTCTCCTGACTATCTTCCTCGACGCGTTCGCCCGACGTAATTCGCTGAATTAATGAATTCCGCTTGGCCGGACAATTTTTCGCCGGGACGCGCAAAAGCGCGGAATGTTCGCACGTTAATTGAGCGGGACGCGGGCGGGAGCGGGAAAGTCGGGAAACGCTGTGAAACTCAATGAATCTTCATTTCCATCGTTTATTCGCTCGCCCATCATCTGCCCGATCCGCCGCGATCGCAAGCGTAACGCGCGTTCTTTCCGTGAACCTTTTTAATCTTGCCGCCATCGCGAAACCGCGTTGTTGTCTCGGCGAGCCGTTCGCGCTAATAGATCGGACAATTATTGAGCATTTGCGATTCTCTGTACGCGTTAAACGTAGCAAACGTAGCGACAACCAGGAATTACCAGCGAAGTTGCACTTCGTTTTCAAGGTATCGCTAATTTTCATCTCACGAATTTCGTCACGACACGCTCCGTGTGTTCGAGCTGAAAAATCCGCGAGAGAAAACGCGAGAGGACTTTGGATTTTATTCTTTTACGTGGCCAACGGCCACGCCGTCGATTACTGTTATCAACAACGAGCGCAACGCACTGCACACGCGCTGCAGATCGCCGCGAAAGCTGGAATTTCCAGCGATAGGCATGCCCGTTTTTACAATCACGATTTTTCCTACGTTACCACGTAAACGCTCCACTTCCCCTCCCTACGTTTCGCTACATTCGGCGCGGAGTGACAGAAAGGAAAGTACAAGGAAAATAAATATAATGGAAGAAACAAGAAAATACGAAGAAATAAGAACCCCGCAGTTATCAGCGTTTCAATTACGGCGATAAGCCTCCCCCTCTTCTCTTCCGCCCGCATCGTTCCCTTACCTTGCCTCACCTGCATTCTACCTGAGACTCGCGCGATCGCGTCCGACCGTTCCGCGAAAAGGCAGACTAGTCGATTCGGAAGCATAAATCAGCCGTTAGATCCTCGGCGACTTATCGCCGCTCGATCCGCCGTTAGAGAGAGAGATCGTTATCCCTATATGGCCCCAGAATTTTTCCACCGCTCTTTCTTTTTCCCTGTCCTCTTTCTCTGCACGCCGCGCGTACGCCTTCTTCTCAGTCCCTTTAAAGGACCGACGATCGGCCGCGTCGAACTGGCGATTCGCGCTCTTTCCACTTTGCGTGGAATAGCGCGGAGCGGCTTTTTCCCCTGCGATCGTCGAATGTTCAATTCGACTTCAGACTCGAGAAATTCGTCGCTCGGACTCCGATCGGTTCAAACTCGCGAACGATTATTTGACTTCTTTATTCGTTACACGTTTCACGGATTTACGTGGCATACTGGCATACTTCGACTCTTATGTTAAATTTGATCTTTTTTAAAGATCATGATTTTTTAAAGATCAAGATATGTTAAATTTGAGCCTTTTTTTGTTTGAGCGTTTTTGTATTATTTTTATAGTTAACTGTACGTCACTATACGTCTATTTCGTAGCGTGATGTCACCGTGAAGATATTTTCATTGGCTTTTGCGAGTTCCATCGATCGTCAACGTTCAGCAGCAATGTCTGCCACCGTTTCTTGACCGAGACGCAAGTTGCAGCTGTGAGCAACGCGAATGCATCCTCGTACTGCGCAATCCTGATATTAACGCGCCAATAGTGCGGCGCCAAAGATGACATTGGCATAATCACGCATAATACGAACGCTCCTCGCTTAAACGTAAACGCAATCGCTAATGTGAAACAAGCTAATGATCAAAATGTCAAAGCTCGTTTCATGTTAGTACCTGATCTTAAAACTTTGTATCTATTTTATTTTGCAAACATAATTTTCTTTTAACCCTCATCAAGATGGAATTATTTTATAGCACAAACGGACAGAATGGTTGAAATTAATAATCCTAAAATACTTAACTTCTTTTAATTCAGTTTCTTCATTTAGTAAAATAGTAACATAAATATATATATATATATATAGTATATATAAAAGAAAAAAAATATATATATATGATAGGCTATTTACTATTTCATTCATTGCATTTGATTTTTAATGAAAGAAAATTCGGAGGCTTTTCTGTCTGAATGAAAGTTAAAGGTTAAAGGTTATATACCATACCACTGTATACATTATTGTTGATCAATCAACAATATCAAGCTAATCAAATTTGAAGAACAATTGAATCGTCAAGAAGTAGAGAGAGAGAGAGAGAGAGAGAGAGAGAGAGAGAGAGAGAGAGAGAGAGAGAGAGAGAGAGAGTTAATCGTCACATCAAATTATATATCGCAGTCTTCGTTATCGCGTCATATAACTCGCTTTGCATTCACTCTAGTCATTAAAATATATCCATGACACATCAACACGAACGGATTTCAACTCACCCCGAAGCCTTGCAACTAGTTCTCGCACTAAGTACAGTCTCCTTCCGGTTTCCGGTCCTTTCGACAGACTTCTCGCGGAGTCCTCTGAGAGTCCCTCGACGATCGAAAATTCTTGAAGAGTTGCCTTGAATTAGTTTCCTCCAAGAGTCGTCGGAGGATCGCCGGAGAAACCTTCGAGAGCGAGAGAGTCTCTCTTGCGAGGGTGGCCCTTCGAAAGCTCGAGTCCTTTGGCTTGAGGTAGCTTCACGTGGAAGTCTAGATGGCTTCTTCAGAGCGACCGAGCGACAACTGTCGCGAGTTGAGCTTTCGAGCTGCTCGGGCCTCACGTAGGTATCCGCTCTGGTGCTCTACCGGCTGGCTAGCTGGCTGGCTAACTGACTGGTATCAGAGAGTAGGGATATCACGGTTAAGAGCGGTGAGTAGTACACGCGCGCAAACAACGATGAGAATACGCGTGACACAAACCGAAAGCGTCGTTTTATTAAGTAAAAAGTTCCCCCCGCGAAACAACGGCGTTGAGTTCCTATCCAGCTCACTATGCTGAGGAAATCCGGTTTGAGGTTTGCTCGCGATCTGTGGATGTGGAGTGAAGTGAAGCGAAGATGAAGTCACCTTCGCAGGAAAACACGCGCATCGAAAATCTCATGAGCGAGCGACTCGCGACGTTTTCGAGATCGCTTTAGGCGTTAGAGCCGCTCGATCTTACCGAAATACCGAAATATCGTCCCTCTCCGGCCCAGGCTCCGCTTTCCGATTCGCCTCTTGGTCTTCGTGTCGCAATCCTCTCTTTTTTTTTTTTTTTTTCTACAGTGGCCCGCTGTGAAACGCTATCGCTTTAGGAAGTTAGAAAGGAAGCGAGCGAAACTCGTTTGTGACGAGAGCGCGCATCGCCTGAAATATCCGGGAATCGTTCCGTACGGGCCGACCTCTGGTTAGGAAGAAAAGAGCCTCCGTCTTGTGGCCGTGTTGTAACGGTAGCGCGATACTCTCGTGCAGATAAAGCAATGGAAATCTGACCGCCGTTATACGCGCGGTAAAATCAACGCCGATAAAACTGCGAAACGATCGCGATACGTGACGTACTCCTCCCGTGTAACGAGCAGAGCTTCTCTCATCCTTCCTTCGGGATTCTTTCGATCGTGACTTCTTCCAAGACGTATAATCGGAAACGGCGATTTCTCAGTAGGAAAAGGAAAGTATGGTTCCAACGGTACTTCCTCGCGGCGCACGCGATGCATAACGAAGGGGGATCCTCTAACCGCGACGATGAGTTTCCTCGCGAGTCGTCCCGCGGCGCGCGTTAGTGCGATCCACTTCAGTTCGATTCGCCACGATTATTCTCTTCTTCGCTCGCGTCACTTGCTCAACCTAAAGTCGCTCTCCACTCTGTTCGACTCTCTGTTTGATTTTTCTCAGCTTTTATTTATACTATTGAGTCATTTGAATTTCCCTCCTTATCTCATTCTACTTTTAGATTTCATTCTCGCGATAATAGCTAAGCCTTCGTGACCCTCGCGCGGCGGTAAAGCATCATCTGCTATCCTAAATCCTCCGGGATCCACCGGCATGACCTCGCCGTGTCTTACGTAACCCGTTCCCCTTTTTGTCTCGTTAAACCAATCGCGCGAGCAAGTCGAGCGTCATTAAGACAATCGGCGTACAAACGAATCGACGACGAATCCAAAAGCGCGGGGGCGTGCTAGCCAGCCGAGGCGCGGGAAAGTGTGAAGCAGCCGTTCGATCAAAACTCGTAACCCGAAACGATTCATCCCGGCCAATCATCATTCTTTTATTGCACGACGACGACGACGACGACGATGATGATGATGATGATGGACTACGACGACGACGACGACGACGACGACGACGAATCTCAGGTCGCGCGCGCGCGCGCACACACTCGAAACGGGAAGGTGTGCGTTACACAATCATTGGCCCGCAGTTTGAGCGCGCACACAGACGAATAACCGTCATTAATACGACGAAATATATTAATTTTACGTCATCGGCGTAACGGTAACGGCAAGCCAACTGACGGTCGGCCAAGCGACGAGGCAGCCGCGGATTCAAGCGACAAAAGCGTTCCTCCGCCGCTCGCGTAATGTTTTGTCTCGAGTGGAACTATAATTATAGCATGCTTGAGCGAAAGAAAGAGAGAGAGAGAGAGAGAGAGATCATCGCAAGCAACATGACAACGCGCAAGTATGTTGCGGAGGAGTCGCATTATTGGCATCTTCTCGCCGCATCGAGCTGAATTCTCGACCGCGCTATCATTTGGCCGCGTCGTCGTGATGCTGAATCGAGCTTTAGTCGCGCGCGCGCGTTCTCGGTCGCAAACTCGGTACGCGTCCGCGTGCGTATTTGTTATGCATTATCAGTCATGCATGCACGCAGTCGTGCGTGCATCATCGTGCGGCAGGGGAAGCAACAAAATAAAGGGAGATCGATTCCGCAAAGGCACCGAGCGAATCGGCCGATTTGATTGCGGAAAAATCGATGTTTCCAATTCGCGCCTTGGCCTGCCGGAAGCATCAACGCGAGCCGCCGCGATCGGGAGGGAATTACAAACGGGTTCAGCGACACGAGAATCAGAGTGTGGATTAACCGAGCTCGGTTAATCCCGGCTGAGTCGAAAGCCGATGATTCATTGCGCGGTCTGCGCGAGAGCGAGTGGCATTTCGCGACGTAACGCGGAATCGTCGTCACCGCGGAGAGTCATTACGACTCTTCCCACGCGCGACTATCGACAGCGCGTCGTTCATCGTCGTCTCTCGTCCTTTTGTCTCGCGGCCGTCGTTTAAAAAAATGCCGAGGCACGTATCGACGTTTCAACGTGATCGGCGAGTTTCCACGAGCGACGTGAGCTCAGCGCTGGCGTGGCGAGCCGTGTCGGGGTCTCTCTGTGTAATTTTTCTTAGACTTTTTCAGAGACTCGTTTGGATGATCTCCCGATCGAGAGCTCGCGCGATCCATGAGCGCTGTTTCGTGTCAGATTCTGAGGGGAGACGGCCGGAGGAAAAGCAGGCATCCGCTTCAATGCGCGTATCAATCGTCCGTCTTATCTCCGAGGGGATAGGCTCTCGTGCTTGAAAGATCGTTTTGCGCGTTATTCCGATCACACTAACGCGAGAAGCTACAGTAAATTAATTCAAAAATAAACTTCCTGGACGTAAATCATTGTACTGCAAGTAAAGAGAGAGAGAGAGAGAGAGAGAGAGAGAGAGAGAGAGAGAGAGAGAGAGAGAGAGAGAGAGAGAGAGAGAGAGAGAGATCGAATTCTGACGGACACGAGCTCAAGTGGAATCTCGGCGGAAGGTCAAGTCCAGATCGGTATCTGGAATCATCCGGACTCGACAGCCTCGTGACGCGAGGGCTCGTCGAAACATACGATTATGCGATTTCTCCGCGCTCTCTCTCTCTCTCTCTCTCTCTCTGCGGCTCTCCGCGTCGCAAGCGGATCGTTACACGGCGGAGCGCAAGAAACCGCGGGCGCTGCGACGTTCCGCGGTGCCGGCCGCGTGCACGATCATGTCCATCGGCTGACCTCACATATGCTAATTGTCGCGGCTTTATCTGCACGCGAGCTCACCATCGCCGTAATGTCAGTTAGCGGCTGGGAAATAGAACGCCGCGCCGCCCGGCGGGATTGCGCAGGAGAGTGTCGCGCGATGCTCTTCCTCACGCCGCTAACCAAACAACTCGATCCTCAAAGCCGCGGATTCTCAAAGGTTCCCGCGGCCTTCGCCGCGCTTTCCGAAAAGGCACGTGCCCGCGCCGCGGCTGAAGTGTCGTGTCCGTCTATGTCGTGGGACACGGCATTTTAGTTAATTAAATTCCGCAAATTAGTCGGATTGTACGCGGGGTGGAGGGGGGAGGAGGAAAGAGGTGTGTCGCGAGCGCGAGGGCGCGTGAAAGCGAGCCGACGACCTTGAGAGGAGACGAATTGTGGGAATTAAATTAAAAGTTGAATTAGATCACGCGTCAGGCTTAATTAAATGGAACAGGATGAGATAGAGAGGCTTTAATTCAAGCGGATCGCGTCATACGTGTCGCATACGTGTACTTGTGTTACACGTTGAAGAAGAAACGATTGTCTCAGGTACGACGAGCGGTGAGTGGAATGAGATGGGACTAGGATTACCAGATTTACTGGTAGGTATGGACGGCTGAAAATTCTGACGAACAAGAGAAAAAGATCTGTCATCTTTCCGAACGTCAGTTTTCAACGTCAGTTTTCAAAAATGTCACTCAAATAGGGAGTTATTACCTGGTCGTTATAGTCATCATATAGATACGGTGGGAAAGGACACGTAGCATCCTCGGCAAGATGCGAAAATTTTGGCTAATTTTGGCTAGGAAGGGCAATCCTTCTCACAGTGTCGAGTATCCGGCAACCCTAGATGGGTTGCTTTCCTTTCCCTTCGCTCGCGCTGTGCACGTCTAGTTTAGACAAACGAGCATGCAGTACATACTGTGCAATGTGTCAGATTTAATCTTACAATAATTAACGGTTAAAGTGCTATCAAGATGGTTCTCTCCCTTTCTCTCTCTCTCTCTCTCTCTCTCTCTCTCTCTTTCACTGAAAAATAGCGTCGCGAGACAACTCTCTGTTGTCTTTGAACGGTCAGTGGGGCTCGATCGATCGAGGATCCTCTCTTTTCTTTTCGCTGAGGACAAGCTCTGAGCTTCCGTATCATTAACAGTCGGGAAGATCGCGAGTCTGCCGACCCAATTGTGGAATGGTATCGCAACCGAAATCTAATTGTAAGCGCGGCGTGAGGGAGAAAGCAGAGAGTAATTGCCACCGCAGTAATTGCAAACAGTGACCGGAAGTCGGATCGTGATCGGAGATCACCGGCGTGTAGTCTTCTCAGCGACCTCACGGGTCATCTTATCGGTGACCTTGGTGGGTGTTTGTAAACGCTCGCGATTCGGCCCGCGAAAAGCCAAAGGTCGCCGACGAGAGGGAAGAATGTGAAACTCGACGGACGTTTGGAGCGATGTATTCGGCAAAGCCAAATGTCTCTCCTGCGCATCGACCGTTTGCAAGTTTCGCGTTTCGCCTGGGTTTTCCATCTCCGAGAATGGAAACGGAAAAAACGGGGTTCTCAGGCGTTGCATGATGCAACGAAGAAGTGCGTTACAAAAGAACGCTTTAAAAAGCGGAAACAATCGACAGTGAAATTTGCAAGTTGAGACAACCCTCAGTTTCCAGCATGACGGGCGTAGCCCGTTCGGTTGCTACTTTCTTTTTTCCAAAATTCAACTCCTCCTCCAGCTTAGCGGCGCGATTGATCGCAGTTGCAACGTCGACGACGAGGACGACGACGCAGCCGATGCAACCGAAACATCGCAAGCAGAGCGTGTCACGCAACGTGGACACGAGGTCGCTGTCAAGGTCCATCGAGTGCAC